TTTCATTCTATATGTTCTTGTACTAATAAATGCTAAGATACAAACTTAGAATATCAAAATCATTTTTTTCCAATGAATCTTCATGTTCAGCCATATCAGCTCAATGCCGAAAGAGGACAGATATGGGTCAAAATTTGGAATAATATTGCTACTAAACTTACTGCATTTATATATATATATATATTGTTTTTTTCCTTTCTCTCTTCCCTCTCGAGACCTCTGGAAACCCTAAAGCTCTGGTTTTTACCTTCTAGACCCTCTCTGAGGGGGGGGGTCCCCAAAGAAAAAACAAAAAAATACAAAGTTTTTTTTGAAGGGGGGGATCCCCCCGCCCCTCAGACCCTAGGAAACCAGCTTTGACATACTAAAGTCACCGGATCCTCTAGATTATAGTCCGGATTGGCACTACAGTACCGGCCGGACGGATCCGATCTAGTCCGTCGGGTCTGCCCAGTCGGCTCCGTAGTGTCAATCCGGCAGCTGTCCGGCCCTTTTAAATTATTCGGTTTGTTTGATCCGCCTGAATTTTAGTTTCCAAAGGATTTTGATGACAGTATAATATAAGATAATATGTATATATATATAATTATATACATGTTACCAAGAATGTTCCATAAATAAAATTTATGCCAATGGATAGGCCCTTGCACGGGTATACAGCAGGAATATATGTGATCAAGAGTGATGTGAAGATAACGTCATCTTTGTATGAAATGGCTATACTCAGCATGCCAATACAAGAACATGTTTTGTGCAAATAATCTTGAAAGTAGCTGCAATGTATATCATACATTTCTTCAGTATGGGTATGACCAATGTACTCTCATTCGAGATGCAGACAATTTTGTCAAAGTCTGAACACTGATAACTAATATAATTAAATGTACATAGAAATAATGCTACCAAGTTTCCTTTTCTATGTATCATGTTTGTGGCAACATATGGCAAGTTGCAATAATAATTTTCTTTGATGATTGGCAGCCATCAATCAAAACTATAACTTCCAAGGATAGTTATAACCACCTTTATCATATTAGTTTAGCCAAGCCAATTTGTGCCCAAAAATGCATCGAATTCCCCTTTTTTTCCAATAACAATGCAATATTAGCATGCACTTTGAATTGTTGCCCTAGCCTCATCTGACTTAGTATTGTAGGTCTGCTCCTTGCCATAACTGTATATATATATAATTAGCAATGTTATCTAGAAACCATTTTGTCAGCCTACGAACTAACAAGGACAACTGCATACCTCAACATTTGGCAAGGGTATTCTCTATCATAGGCATGCTTGATTTTGAACACAGGGATTGTGTGCAATGTCTGTGTGGGCTGCCAGATTGCACTGATTGCATTGGAGATTCCAAGCTCCCTTTTTTATTTGCATTCCTAGTCCTAGTTTGCTAGGGAAATCTGCACAAGGACATGGTGAAAGCCTTGTTATATTTGTTTTATACCAGGAGAAATCGATTTGTTTTTTCTTGTGGGGCCAAGTTCTTGGAATGTTTATGCTATGGATCAGGTTGAAACCAACATATCTCAATGTATTTCATATAAATCTAGACTAGTATTGTAATATTATAGATTCATTCGATTATATATTTATATGGTTGGGTTGGGTACAAGCATGCTTTAGCATGACATGAACAGTAAATGAAATGATTTAGAGTCTCAATATTGGAGAAGAATGAGATGCTGCATGCATTGCCATGGTGCCTTGTGATAGGGATGTCAGTGGTTGTAAGGCTTGACCCTAACCTACCCTAACTTTCCAGGTTGGATTCTTTGAGTTTGTTTTGGTGGTCCTTCTACTTCCAAGCTTAGTTATTTCAATTGACGAGTTTGGGATTGGCATGTGTATTTTTCCGGGGGATTTTTGTAACACAAGTTTAATTGTTCCTTTGTTTGTGCCATTTTCAGCATGATATTGGAAATGGTTTAATTTAGGTTTCCTTGTGAGATGTTCCCAGCTCAATCACTTAGAATACACAGCTCTTGTCACAAAACACCTAGTCTACGCTGACACATCAAAGAAGACATGTTTTGGAAGATATATATATATATTATTATATATGTATATATGTTTTACTTCAAGGTATTGTCAACATATTCTGCATTAAACAAACATATTTGCAACAGGTTTGTTTTACTTTTCAAAAATCAAGAGAATACAAGATTAAGGGATGCACCTTATTTTCACACTAAGTATCTTATGTATGTGCAAAGGATTGTTCGAAACAATAAGTGATATGATTTTGAAAGAAACGTGGGGAATCCATATAAAAATAACGGGAAAAAAACATCGTAAAAATGGGACCTCCACATGGTCCCACTGTCTTATCTTTTGATTTTGTGGTTCCCCAAATTGTTAGGTAATTTGATCTAGTTCACTGGGTGAACAACTGTTGGCTGTATGGGGATTACATCTATAAAGTGAACTGAATATATAAACCAACTTATAAAATCTTATAGATGGGTAGCGCCATCTTGTGATGTTCAGGACTGGTGATTTATCCCACATATGTCTCATTGCTGATCCTATTACTTCTTTGGTATTCCCCTTCCATTAATATTAAACACCGCCTACATGGTTCTAAATAAGTGTAAATCCCCTACTTAACCATGATTATTTTGGGGTGTTTTTATGTTAGGGGGATGGGATTAATTTGCCCAGATGGTGGCTTTCCTCAAAACAATCAGGTAGCTGTAGTTGATTTCGAAGAGCGTGTACTTACCCGAGGAACTAGCGGAGTTTCCTCCACAGGTTAATGGTGAATTTCCTCCAGAAACTGGTCCTTCTTACACCAAGAATGGTGGCAGAAAACCAACCATTTGATGAAAACTATATGTAAGATGATCATGTTATTTAGATATACAACCAACAATATGATATCATATGATGTGGTTTTGTCCAAAGTTGGTTTTGTTTACACGTAAATGGGGAACATGATGATGAACTGTTTTGGACAAATCCATTTTGGGTAGAACTCAAATTCGTTGGCCCCTTAAACTGGAGGGTTTTGTACAAAAAATACTCCAAAACTAGCTATCTTCAAATCGTATCCTAAGTGGTTGCTGTTGATATTTGTTTACATGTTGGTAAACATCGTTGCGTATCTCCAAATGGGCTCTATCCTGAAGATGACCCAATATGAAGAGTCGAGCCTCGCTTGGACGGGGTGTTCCCGCTCGGCAATAGGCATGGATTGAAGAGACTAGCTGGGGTGACCCAGAGGTTTGGGTTGCAGCTTGAGCGTCAAACCCAAGCTAAAAATCATTGTGCTTTATAATCTTAACATTTGAACAAAGAATAATGTGGGTAAAACAAAAATAAGCCACCCATTTGGGAATGGTTTATACCACCTATTAATGGTGATTTAGGACTACCCACCTGATCAATGAAGGGTGTTTCTGATCGTTCAATGCTACTGGAAAAACAGGCCATGAAACTCAGAATCAAGGGGCGCCTAAGGTCAGCAATGAAGCCAATGAAGCCGCTTTCGCAGTGCCACGAATAGTGTTTTGATGAAATGTCCAGCAATTCAATGTTGTTTTTTTCTAAATGCCAATGTGTTCATAGTTAAACCCATTCTTTGATAGATACTTAAATCCAGGTTTTTTTCAAATACTATTATACTTAAATCCCAGTTTTTTGGTAATACCTATGCCAACCTTTGTTCATCGTTCTATAGCGTTTTTGGTGTGTTTCCTAGCAGCTTGAATTTCATTCCAGATCAACAACACTCCAGTGTTTTCCCTGTTGATGGTTTTCATACTAGTTTAGCCCTGTTGAATCAACAGAAATGGTGAATTGAATCTGCAACATTTAACGGTATAACTTCGGTATAACTGTATAACTCAGTGAAAGGGTTTTACTAACTGGCATGCTGGTAGAATAGGGGTACATATAGACTATCCATCCCTATAAACCAACACTAGTAGGACACTGAGAAACTTTTTCGGCACCGCTCAAATATCTATATACCCTTAATAAACCATTGCCTGGGGTACTTGGTAAGACAATCCCAAGTGTCTTTGTTTATATGTGCCCCTTTTTTTAAACAAAGTCCAGGTTTTTTTGGCGGAACATCCACGAGATTTGCGGCCTCCAAAGATGTCCAAAGCCATGAATATTTTGTTGGACCTAGATAATTGCCATTTCTGAGGCGTGGAAGATGACCTCTCAACATGTGTTAATTGGGATCCTGTGTCTTCTGATTGTGTCTCTTGATCCAAAAAATGCCAGTTGCATGGATGATTCTATTTCGAGACATCCGATCCCTTAAACAAAATATGCATCATATCATATTTTTTACACATAATATAGACACTTAGATATGCCCTTTGGTAGTCACAAATTGCACATTGAAAGTCTTATTTTTCAACATGAAAAGACCTAATTAGTCAGTAAAACAGGAATTGTCCTCTGTTATACTTGATTACCACAGGGTGTCTCTATACTTATCCCAATATCAATATCAATACCTTTTTTTTTAGGTACATCATTATATTTGGTATTTACATTATTGATATCTCTTTCTATATGTATATATATATATATATATATTATTGAACATTAATGTGCCCATCAACAAAACATATGGTAATTACAGCACTATCAACTACTTTCGTATGTTTACTACTCTTCTTATCATTTTTATAACAAAGATCATTCACTTCATAGCCTTCGATATCTCTTATGTGATGTTTACTATATTGTTTATGATAAAAATCCTATATAGGTCAAAAAAAAGATGTGGAACATCCCAGATTTAAATGATTTTCCCAGGGAAACCATAGCTTTCAGAGGGGTTGAAACTACCACCAACCAGATATATATTAAATACTAATGTAAATGAATATAGACTTACTATATCTATAGTAATTCTAGCATATATGACTATATATAGACTTACTAATGTAGATGATGTAGGTGATGATATATATATATATATGTATGTATATATATATATATATATATACACGTTAGTTTCCACTAGGCTCCAGGTCAACCAGTTGCGTCATCCCACGGGGATCAGCGTGCGAAAAAAAAACCGCGCCATGTGTGCCGACGACGGCGCAAGGCCCGAGAATGGACGCTGGGCCGCGGAAATACCTGGCCAAAGTGAAAATGGGATATCAATGGATATCACATATTATATACATATGATACTTCAATACTATATAATCATACATAGTATAATAATATACATATCGTGTATACAGTAATTATATGTATATATATGTAGAATATATATATATATATAAATGGAGCAATTGGGCAATCTAGGCTACAAAAAAAACTGTTTGAATTATATCGAGGTCGCTGGCTGACCTCACTATAGGTTGCTCTTGGATTTGGGGAATTCCAAAAAGTGATCTCTTCACTCATCAAGTGATGTACTTTACTCTAAGTTTTTTGAATGTATATATATATATATATGTATGTGTGTCATAATGCCTTGACTTGATAACCTTGCAGAGCAATGCAACATAGCCTTGAAACTTGAGAGGTTTTTCGAGGCTTAGCCAAAGAAATAAGCCTCTCAGTTCCCTAGTTTTCAAGTTGTTTTTGCCACCCACCTCTAGATGCCATGGGAACTTGAGGGATGAGAAGCTTGACCATAAGAAGCGTTGAGGTCGGTTTCTGGACCAATAAAAACCATCGACACGAGCAACCTGCGCACTCAAGCATGTAGATTTTAGAGTATGGATTTACAAAAACGGTCGATTATGATGAAGCAATAGTCATCCAATTCATGCTGAATATTGCCATGTGCAAAATTGCGGCCAGATAACGCCGCTTTCTGTACAAAAGAATGGTGTAGACAACAAACAAATGTTTAGAGGCCAAAAGATCGGATTTAAACAGTACCTGGACCTAGCCATGGAAAAATGACGTACTTGCAACAATCTAATTTGACAGTCTGGAACATTTCCATTTCTCATTGGAACAGCATGAATACCAGAGGGGTAATATGTGTGTATGTGTGTATATATATATATATACAGGATTATATAGGATTATAGAAGCGGACTACATCACACCCCAATGAAAAATGACGAGTTTTAGACTTAGAACTTCATGAATTTTGACCATTTTTCTGCACTTTTGTTGGATGGTTTTTCACTCAGTCCGAGATGACTTATGACCAAAGTACACCCTTTTCCGTCCCGGTCGACCAGTTTCCCCTGTTTCCGCTGGTGAATCTAGTTGTGCGACTTGGGTGAAATATCCCCATGACTGGTTGGTGGTGGTGACTGGAACCATGGGATTTTGAATGACTTTCCAGAAACAGTTGGGAATGGAATGTGATGACATTCCCAACTGAAACCACCACAACCACCAACCAGTCATGTCTTCTCCCCATGACACTCCCCTGTTGATGGATGATGGTGAAAAATCCTCGGCGTTGGGAGGTGGGTCAAGTTACCGAGTTTTGATCATAGGACTATAGGGGAATTCCAATCGATAGATCCCAGCTGGGTACAAAGGTGGTGCCCAGTTACCCAGTTCGTTCGCTAAGTTCACATAACTTGCTGAACTATGGTTGACGAATGTTTATGGTAATTGTTTACGGTATACCTAACAATCCAACAACATACACAATCCATAAACATTCATAAACCATAGTTACTATGTTTTACTATGGTTTACCCTCTGGTAAACTAACGTAGCTATTGAAAATTGCCATTTATAGTGGATTTACCCATTGAAAATTGTGATTTTCCATAGTTACTATGTTTCACTATGGTTTACAAACCAGCAATCCAATAAATATATCACTTGGGGGCACCACTGTTGGGGCTGGGTGCCTTGAACCTTTGGCCCAGGAGGCGCGGCGGTGCGTGGCAGCAGCCCAGGGCCCGTGCTGCGGGCACCCAGCCCTGAGCCCTCGCTTGGCACCTTGAACAGCCCCTACTTCGCAGCGGCCCTGGTGCTGATCAAGGTGCAGAATCTGTGGAAATTCAAAGTCCAAAAAAAAGTGATGTGAATGTTGGTATAGTCAATGGTTTACAAAGCCATTGACTAAAGATACTATAAACCATTATAAACCAACATTATCATATGGTTTAAATCATGGTTCATACTATAGATATATCATGTTATATCCTCCATAAACCCTTCACCAAGTGATTCGTCAACTTAGCTAGCTAGCCTCACCTTGTGGGCAACACACCAAAATTTGGGTGGGTTTTCAGCTGGTTGAACAATCAACATTTTTGTTGCTAAACTCCTGGAAAACTCATCAACAATCATCAACAGATATCTTGAACCAACAAATTTGCTTTTGCTCAATTATTCCTCCATATTATTTGCACAGTTCCCCGCGTTCCAACCGGTGTTGTTGGAGAAAAAATCGCCGAGCCGGCCCGCAGGGCGCTGCTGCGCAGGCATTGGATGTCCCATTGGCCGCGACCACTGATGCTTGGTTGGGGGTTGATACCATTGGTAGGGGCTGGCACTGACCTAAGCAACAAAAATGATGATATACCAGGGAATTTCATACCGTGGGGGTATTTCATAACATGGGTTATACTCAAAATATCTCAAAATATTAGCCCAAATTTTAAGATGGTGTGTAATTTGGGTGATTTTGGTCGCTGGGTGGCCCCCGTGATTTTCATGAGGATTTGGCCACCAGCAACTCAATTGGCCCGTTGATAGGAGCTGCGCAACACGATTAACGGGTCAAGGTGGATAGATCTCGAGGTGGTGGATAAATCAATATCTATAACACATGTAAATAATTATAAACCAGTTTCAATAAGTTTCAACAAATATAAATAAGTATAAACCAGTATAGATAAGTATAAGCAAGTCCAAATAAGTCTCAACAAGTTTCAATAAGTTTCAACAAGTATAAATAAGTATAAATAAGTATAGATAAGTCTCAACAAGTTTCAATAAGTTTCAACAAGTATAGATAAGTATAAATAAATCTCAACCAGTTTCAATAAGTTTCAACAAGTATAAATAAGTATAAACACGTATAAACAAGATTAAACAAGTATAAACCCTGTAAACATAGTAAATCTAATATATATATGATTATAATTGATTATATCTGATTGGTGGTTTCAAACGAGTTCTGATCCGGAGAGCTACCTCAAAAGTCGGATTCGAGTCGTTTTCGGGTTTCGGGTTTCGGGTTTCGGGTTTCGCTGGTCGAAACCAAATTTAGATGTCGGTTTCGGGTTTCTTGTTTCGTCGATCGAAACTAACTTCAGATGTCGGTTTCGGGTTTCGGGTTTCGTAGGTCGAAACCAACTTTAGATGTCGGCTTCGGGTTTCCGGTTTTAGGTATCCAGTTTCGGATTTCCGGATTCGAGCTTTAGCATTTAGATGTCGCGATTGCGGGCTCGCGGCTTACCGCATTCGGTTTTCCAAGATTTACGCCTGGGGTGAAGATTTCATTTAGGATGTTGCGTTATCTTTTGTATATTTTCTTTACGAGCACGCCCTCTTTCAGAATCATGTCCTTCGAAGTGGCAACAACAGGGTCACGTATTCAGATGTCCAGTATCACTTCCTTTTTTTGGCGAGTACACACGGTTTCACAAATTTCGAAGTGTTTTTTTTGGTTGGCAAGCACGCGCTGTGTCACACTTATACACTTGCAAGTGCCGATGACTGAGTGACGCATTCAGATGTCTAGCTATTCAGCTGAGACCTCTTGGTGAGTCCGTACCGTATCAGGTTCATAGTCCGAAGAGGTGACAACAGAGTCATGCAGTCTGTAACAACAACAATGTGGTACTCCAGCAGACTTCCAGCTATCGAATCTTCGTTCGCGCATATGATGCATGCAGAGTTAAGAAACACATGCGGACATATCTCGCATATCTAAAGTAAACGGATATCTTTGCACTTCATTAGTCAGACTAAAAGTTTTGCAAACAAAACCTTTCGGCAACGCCTTCGTGACAGCTATATGCAATGGTGCTAATTTCCTGCGTGGGGTCTGTTACGTTTAAAATTCTTGCGCCTTGGCAACGAGACATACGCCTGGAACAATAATACCCTCAACTACTAAAGGGTCTGAAATCTTATACCCAGGTCTCTTTTCAGAGTGGGGTCTGGGATGGTATTTTTGCATATTAGACCCCACCCCCCTGATGACCCCAGACCCCTCAACATAGGTAGGCATCATCAATTTCACTGTCATAATAGACCCCAAAGCTGATGATTCCAGACCCTCCACCGTTTAGGTCTAATATGGTCAATCTCATGTTTGACAATTTGAGGGGGTGGTTTCACCCTAGACCCCTTTTTGGGGTCTGGCATCATTCCACCCCCAAAAAAAATCATCCCACACGTGAGGTCTAAAGTCTAAAACGTAAAGGGGGGGTTAACAAAAAAGATATTAGACCATCCTACGTTATCTCACGTAACTTGATGTACAGTTTTCATGGGCTTCCTGCGTTTTTGATTGTTTTTGTATGTTTTTGGGTGTGATTAAGATCTGTGTGATTTATTGTGATCTCAAAGTAGGCATTTGTTTATTCATATTTTTTTTGGGTTTGTGCTGGCTCATGGTGAATGGACCACTTTATCTCACGTAACTTGACAAAGGGGTTATAATCGTTTTTTGTTTTTAAGGTTTGGTACCACTGTACATTGGCTGGGTTAGTGTCAAATTTGAAGTGTTCCATAGGAGGTTCCCAAACTACAGGGCTCTAATTTGGTTTTCTTGTGGCCTAGGCGGTGGTTTCCTTGAAATTAAAGGGCAATATCATTTCAGATCCTTCCCCTGATGTCTTTTTAACTTGCGGTGAGGGTCTCACAAATTAATTAGGAGATTTGGATCTCTGAAACTTTTGTGTCAATTGTGGGCCATTTAGATTTTGTGTTGATATTTTATTTTCATTGGGATTACTGTAAGTTTTCATACTCTTGGCAATATATGCAAAGAACACATTTGATCTTCAACTCTGCGCTTCCATGTTGGGAACACTAATCGCTTCAAGTTTGGGACCGCTATGCGTTGGCTGAGTTAGTCTCAAACTTGAAGTGTTCCATAGGAGGTTCCCAGGCTACAGGGGTCTAATTTGGTTTTCTTGTGGCCTAGGCGGTGGTTTTTCTTGAAATGGGAGGGCAATATCATTTCAGACATTCCTTTGATATCTTGCCAACTTGCGGTGACACAGTGGGTGTCTCACAATTTTTTAGTTCCCCAGTCTCTGAAACATTTGTGTCAGTTGTGGACCTTCTAGATTTGTGTTAACATATTCCCCACATGCAAGGGAGGGTTGTTAGATTTTATCAGAGTTGTTCTCCTTCTTCTGATTCTCCTTCTAATCCTTCTCGTAAACCACCCCTGCATCCACTTCCAGGTCCACTTCTGCCACTTCCATGTCCACTTCCGCCTTGCCAACTCTTCCCCAAGCTCTTCGCCAACTTCCGCACGCAGTGGGCACTGCTGGACCTCAACTGCGAGGGTCTGAGCGCAGTGGGCACCGCTGGACCTCAACCTGGGACCTGCCGAGTTGAGTGAGCACCGCTGGACCTCAACCTGGGACCTTCCGAGCTCAGTGAGCACCGCTGGACCTCAACCTGGGACCCGCCGAGCTCAGTGAGCACCGCTGGACCTCAACCTGGGACCCGCCGAGCTCAGTGAGCACCGCTGGACCTCAACCTGGGACTTTCCGAGCTCAGTGAGCGCCGCTGGACCTCAACGGCCAGAGAGAATGCCAGAAGATATGCCAGATAGAACGCCAGATAGCATGTCAGATAGAATGCCAGAAGATATGCCAGATAAAATGCCAGAAGATATGCCAGATAGAATGCCAGAAGATGGAACGAATAAAAAAGGATCGCGCAGTCATATCGCCAGGATCATAGTATCAAACTTCCATAATCAAGTTGGTAGGCTAGACGCAGTCCACTATATTGCTTCGATTGGACGCCTGCGCCCGCCCTTGGTGGAGCCCGTGCAGACGGTCGCTAGCATCACCATGGACCCGCGTGTGCTTTCCTTGACAGAAGCTGCCACCGCTGAATTCGAACAAAGTTTTTGATATTCAGATGAGTTTTCTACATACTGGATTGAGAACAAGCTTGGCGTCACTAGGGGAAGACACGTCTCAAAAGACGTGACCAAGCTGCACAGTGCAGTGTGGAACTCATTAGATAAACATTTCCAGAGAGACTGGTGGATTGGCCATCTTGGCCTGAACAACGGCCCTTGCGACACAAAGCTTTGCACTTTCATGATCTGACACATTGCAAGCCATTGGAGAGAGAAGCCATCGTTGGTATGTACTCAGAAAAGTCTCTGCAAATTGCAGGCCGTGGCAACGAAGAGGCCTTGTTTCGAAGCATTTACGAATGCCACCATTGAATATGGATTTGTCATGGACTAAAAAAGGAAAGAAGGAAGGACTTAAGAATCTAGACGAAAATTGGCCAGAGACAGCGCCGCATATCGCGAAGAGTAGCTTGCAGCTGTCCGACATTTCCCAGCTTGCATTGAGCGTTGCATCTTCATCTCGACCATCGCCAGAAGTCTTCCGGTTCGACTATGCTGAGCAAGTCGTCAAACACCAGATGCATGACCGATCCCTACATATCCATTTGTCAGGCCTGACGTGGAATGCAAGCGCTCGCCGCCAAGGGCTCGACATTTCATGCTTTGTGGCAGGGACATGGTCTTACATCGCACTACAGGAAGCAGACCCTTGGGAGGTGGATCGCTTGGAAAGCTTAGGCTACAATGTCATTGCTCGCACTGACATTGGATTAGCTGTTGCAATGGCTCGTGACTTTCTTCAAGGGCCAGGGCACTTGGTGCAGGTGATGGAGAACAATCTAGAATCTGGCATATTGGGCTTTCCGGGCTATTTTGGCTCGCTTTGATGTGCAGGTCCAAGGATGGCCGCTGCAGCATTTGGTCACCGGCTCGGCTCATTTGAACAATGTTGTGGCTAGCTCGAAGAGAGGCATCACACGTGACCTCTTGCAGCAGCTTTTCCAGACTGCAAAGGATACGTTTGAGAGTTGAGAAGTCAGCTAAAAAAATGTTTTAGTATTTATTTATTTTTATGATTTTTTAAGATTTTTTTTTATGATTTCGATTTATGAATTGGAAAAAACGTTTTTTGAATTTATGTTTTTTAATGATTTTTTTATGATTTTTTAAATGATAATTTTATGATTTTTTATGCCTCGTTTTATGATTTTTTAATGTTTTTTTAATGATTATTTTTCCGCCCACGTCGCCCTAATAAAACCATTGAAAAATCATATTTTTCATTAAGCAAAATCATATTTTTCATAAAAAAATAAAAAGGTCAGATTTTTTATGAAAGTTTTATAATTCATAAAAACATCATAAAAAATTCATAAGTTTTATGATTTTTGAATGAACATTTTATGTTTTTTTATGACAATTTTATGATTTTTTTAAATGAAAATTTTGTGATTTTTTTCATGAACATTTTATGTTTTTTTATTTTTTTTTAGGGCGACGTGGGCGGAAAAAAAAACTTAAAAAAATCATAAAATGAGCCATAAAAAAATCATAAAATAATCATATTTTTTTCATAAAATCAAAAAAACATTTTTTCCAATTCATAAATCAAAATCATAAAAAAAAACATTAAAAAAAACATTTAAAAAATAAATTAAAATTTGATTTTTTATGCTTTCCCCCAACTCTCAAGGATACGTGCTGCGACATCTTGGGGCCTGATTTCAACCAGGGCGTCGATCAGTTGACAGAACAATTCCGTTTGTGGATCCAAAGGCAGAATTTGGAGCCGGTGCCAACATCTTTGTTAGGGCATCGCGATGGTGATTGTTGCGGGTTCTTGGTGTTTCCTAGCTCTTAACTGCTTAATTTGAATTTGCAGCGACACGGCAGCATCTTTTTTGATCATCGCGACTTGCAGATTCGCCAGTACGACGCCGATTCCCATCATCCAAGTTTCGTTTTCCATACAGTCACTAACAAAAGAAGCCGAGGGCCGATGAGTGATAAGAGACTGGATAGACAAGAACGAAAAAAAACAAACTGCATGAGAAGCGAGCAGCCAGAGGAAAGTAGATGGTTTTACTCAATGAGGATAATGTGGCACACGCGGAAAAGTTTCACAAAACTGGGATCTAATGGTCGGACGAACGTATGTAGCACTACAGAACGGTGGTTGTGGTGCAAGTTTATAGAGCAGTGTTATAGATCATATCAACCTTTGTGTCAACTCATCATAAGGTGGAACCCCAGCAAAAGTCCGGGGCCAGCTGTCCGGTCGGAATTGGGCCGCCGGTTCGGGACATCACCAAATGGAAGCCTTGAAGAGATTTAGTGTGCAAATACAAACTGTTATATGTTGAGATTGAAAACCCACTTGTACCTCATATCCAGACAGATTACTCATACCTTTCCGGTATCATATCTAAATATCTGATATATATGCAATTCTGGCTAAAAGGGATCAAAATTACTAACCATGACACGAATGGGACGATTTACTGTAGTATTATCTATGATGGAAGCCAAGTCTTAAGAGTCGGTTTCGGGTTCCGGGTTTCGGGTTTCGCAGTTCGAAGCCAACTTTAGCAGTCGGTTTCGGGTTTCGGGTTCCGGGTTCCGGGTTTCGGGTTTCGGGTTTCGCTGGTCGAAACCAACTCTGCAGATCTCTCTCCGGATCACGTCTCTTTCAAACACATTTTATGTTCCATAATATATAGGATAATCCTTCCCATTGACTTTCATATTTTACAAGATGGTTAAAACCACCACAGAGTAATTGTTATACCAACCAGTAATGGATCTAATATACATATATGCATATATATATATTTACATATATATAGATATATACACATATATTTCTATACATATATATATATACACATGTGTATATATATATTATATACATATACACATATTATAAATAAATGTATATATATATACACATATATATATATACATACATATATATATACACATTTATAATATATATATATACATATTATATATATTATATATATGTGTGTTTTGAAATAGGAGCGTTCACCGGGCCAAGGAGGCGGTGAAACCATACGACGACCTTTGTGGCCGCATCACCTTGAATTCGGTGCCATCCTTTCCATCCAAACCTCAGAGAACCAGGCGCACGACATCAGGAAATTCAGAGGAATTCATAGGATTTCATAGGGATTCATAGGACTCCTGGGTCGAAATTTTCGAAATCTTGAAGTTTTTTTTTTGGCTGAATGGTACTTAGATCATCTTAGATGCTCCTAGTCACCATAGAAAATGGATAAAAGTCCCAAACATATCCCAACATGATGGGTAAATTACCATACATTTCCGTTTTTCCGATGGACTTGGAGTCCACTTGGAGGGTATAGGGAGAAACCATGAATTCCTGAGATTACTACACCATCAAATCTTATCAAATGAATGGGAATGGTGACCTGTCGATCGTATCCAATGTGGGGCGTCTTAAGAACCATCCAATTTTGGTTAGCGTCCGAGGGGCCAAGACAGGACGGATCGTTTAAAGAAAAAATTGCCCGGAAGTAGCTGGGCAAGTATTGACCCATTTGGCCCAAGATTGCAGGAGTCAGCTACAGTTCATTTAAAAAAAAGGGTGAGTTCCACTGAGAAGTATGCTGATGTAATCCCTATTGGGATTTGCTGACAACTGAGGAAGCTAAACATGCAGACCTGCAAGGTTATTTTAAGATTGAAACACATGGTTACCGCTTTAATTGTTGTATTAGCAGATTAGCAGAATGTTAATTTTCTCAAACAAATGGGAACAGCTTAAGCTGTCACTCACAAGCCACAAGTTGTGTTTACCCTTTGCTAATCAAACGTGGAAATGGGAAATTCCCTATAAACACATGTTTATATACATATATAATTATATATATATATATATATTATTGGAACAGCATCCAGAAATCCCATACATGATGTTACCAACACTATTGCCATCTCAACACTGTGTTAAATTGATAGTCCCATGTTGTTGACTTTTTGGACCCAGATCATACGGGCCATGGTCAATCCATTCATAGGGGTTTATATATCCACTGTAAGGCTTCTTTATATGGGATGGATGACCATAGACCATTACTCATATAGATGATTTGTGTATATTCTACTATTTTCCCATATTATATTCACAATATATATATATATATATATACAGTATACATATACATATTATATCATTATATATTTAATATATATATATACACATTTTATACAAACGTGCCTAAATGGGTTCCCCGTAAAGAGCGTGTAACAATATATATATATATTATATATATGTGTGTATATATTTATATCCCAATAGTGTTGGTTCAATGCTAAAAAAAATCCCATGGCACATTTGGCACATGGCGGTGATTTCTTCAGGTTCGAGCGGCTGGTGGCCGACAAGGTGGCAGAAGATGCGGCCTATCGAGTCTTCAGCATGCCCAAGGTCGGGGCTTGGGATGGCATACCCCGTTCGATAGCGTTCAGTTGAGATATAAGTGGCTGAATTCTATGGTTTATGGTAGATATCACGAACTTGTTAATGGAGTTTCTAAACCAACTTACTGGGGGGCACCATCCTGAAAGAAAATAGGGATTTCATGGGATGTATGTGGGATATGTGTGGGATTTTTTTGGCATATGTTTCACCAAGTTTTTTTTTCAGAAATTGGATGATATGCCATGATGTACCCATATTTGAGGATGGTCATCACTTCATTTTCATCCATTTTCTTATAGAGTTTGGTATACCCGTCTAGAAATCTCACTCATGATGGTGGGATGGCCATAGCCCGGGTACAATGTTTTGACCGTGGCGTAAACTGCTCTCTCCGAACATGTCAGGTCTTCCGTATACAATTTCAAGATCGAAAATGATGGTACTTGGTGGCTCATCCCACGAATCGTAAGTGGGTTATAACCCCAGTGATTTACATGGGATAAGTAGGGTTAATCCACATCAATCACTGGGGTGAACTAACCCACAACCACGATTCGTGGGTAGTTCGCCACCAAGATACAACGACATGAATTTTGGGAGCCAATTTCTGAACAAGCCCATCAAAAACAGCAACCAGCGATGGCATTAATTTCAATGGGAGATCTCCAGGATCCAACAGATGGAGGTACGTAAATGTACCATATTTTTGGCCAAAAATTCTGGGGATATTCCCTGAAATTTAGGCCTTATAATCCTTATATAGGCCTTATGTATGGTAGGTACCTCCAATAAACCGGTTCCTGAAATGGCCATTGAATATTGGAATTTGCCAAGCAAAAAGAAACCATGTAGAACTGATATCCAAGTCATCGGTAGTTTTTTTTTCGGGCCAAGGCACAACATCCAAACCAGAGATCTCGCCGAAAACTATGGGGTTCCTTCCGAACCATTGGGGTCCAGATTTCGGAAGCCCCATAATGTGAGTAAAGCAATGTCATAACCAACCATATATTCAAGCCTTATACCACAAAATGATGGTAAACTTGGGGATGGTGGGTCCTATTGCTTTACTAACATGAAAGAGTCATTTGTTCAAATGGATATGATAATAATTCATAATTTGTATTATATGGACATCCCATACTATAAAATGAATTACATATCATATATATACCTGGATCTTCACTTAGCACTTTTTTCTGCTCATAGCAGTTTTCGCTTGGATTTACGCTCGTTCGACTTTGTTTCTTGACGGACGGGCATTTACGCTTTTTTCCCGGGTATTTACACTTATTTCCAGGCAAAATACGCTTATAATGTTGGCTTCAAAATGCACAAAGTGCAAAAATGCTTAAAGTGGTGAAATTACGCTCATGTGGAGAAAAACCACTCAAAAAGCAGAAATCTCTCAAATGAACATTTATTTGTGCTTTTTCGAGGATGCAGGTATATATACATATTAATTGACTTCTGCAACAGGCAACAGTTGGTGGTGCAAATTTCATCAAATTTCCATAGATGCTCCCCATGGACCGAAAAAACGAGCAGGTGAATGCCCACATGGATCGATGTTGGAAATCCACATTTTTTGGCCAAAAAAAATAGACACATATATCCATAGTGGAGGCTAATGGTAAACTGGTTGGTGGTGACTGGAACCATGGAATTTCATGACTTTCCATATTAATTGGGAATAATCATCCCAACTGACGAAGTCATATTTTTTCAGAGGGGTAGGTCAACCACCAACTAGTAAAGTACTTGTCCATCTATTTTGGTGGGGTCAGTATATAGCTTCATAATATCCGGATGGGTAGCTCAGGCAGCGGATATTGACCAACCCGTTGTTGCCGGTCTACGTAGACGAAACACATGGGATGATTTGCCACTGTGTTTCAGTCACCAACCCATTGTTCTATGTTCATTGGTTTAAATCCCTTTAACTTTTCCTGTGTTTGAGGTTACATTCTCAACTGTGTTATTTTGAATCACGAAATCATCCAAGTAGCCACTCTCAAACGGCAAACAGTTCAAAGTTGGTAAAACGTCCCAAAGTCATTACGTGTCATGATTCATGGATGTATATACATATATATATATATGTGTATATATATATATATGTACATATATATATATGTATATACATATGTATGTCTATATATATATATACAAGTGTGTGTGTGCATATATATATATATATATATATCCGTGTGTATATATATATATATGTATATATATATATATTATGTACATTATATATATACATGTATGTATATATATGCATATATGTGGAGATATTACCATATATTACCCCAATGTTTCAAATGGTAAAGAGGGTATTGATCACCAGTTTCTGCATCCGCCTTGGGAGGCCATGGCACAGGAGACTTGGGCGATTTTCGGAGGGCTTTCTGGTCCCAACTGAACCAGGGCTGCTCGGGGAATCCTGAACCTATATATATATATATATATATATATTCACGCATATAAAATGTAATTGGCTTCCGGGGAACCCCCAGCCTTCACCCTATATATATATATAACCACAAGGGGGGCAACGAACGATCTATTGTTCTATATGTTGTTCTTGTTTTGAATAAATGACATTAACCAACTGAAACTGTCTAAAACCAGTTCAAAGCATCAGCAGGAGCATTCGGATAATTCCCTCCAGATTGGGAGAATAAACGATTGGATGGGGAGAGAATGGAAAATAATGGAAGAACATAGGATTGAATAGGTTATTTAGTGGGATATAGTGGGATATCTTTTGATAGAATTGGATAGAATGAGATGTAATTGATATTACAGTACTTGATAGAACTGAATATAATGGGATGAAGTGATATGGTTGGATATAATGGGAAAGAATGGGACAGGATGGGATAGAATGGATAGAACTTGATAGTACTTGGTAGAACGGTGTATTATGGTATATAGTGGGATACAACGGGAAAGACTCGGACAGAATGGGATGCAATGTGAATCAATGAGAGACAATACCAATCGGATAGAATGGCAATGAATGGCATCTAATTAGAAGAGGATAGAATGGGATCTATTGGGTTCTATTATTGACAGAGTTGGGCAGAGCCGGATATAGTGGATCTGATAGAACTGGACATACGGGATAGAATTGAATAGAATGGGATAGAGCCGGATTAAATTTGATATAATGGGATATCATGGGATGTAACGGGATATAATTGGATAAAATTGTGTTAAGTTGCTTGCTGGTTTTTTTCAGCCCACGTCCCATTTTGCGGCTCGAAGAAGCGTTTTTTTTGTCCTTTAGGGGATGAGAAAGAGTGCGGTGTAACTAGGAATAATGCGGCAGTTATTTAGAATAGCAAGATATGATTGCATACATGGGATATATATATAATATTATATATATACACATGTAGAGAGTTGTACAAGAAAAATGTGATGTAGCACGAAAGAAATGGATGGAATTGGGTGATATAATAGGATCTAGGGAGATAGAATGGGATATAGTGAGATAAACATAGAATGGGATATAGCAGGATCAAACGGGTTGGAATTGCATGATGTAAGCGGATACAGCGGGATCTCATGGGGTTTTTCGTGGGATGTCATGGGATTTGTTGTAGGATAAATTCAGATGAGTGGGATATAGTCTGATGGCATAAGGTATAACGGAAGAAAATGGGATAGAATGGGATGTAGTTGGATTATATTGGGGTACACCGCAATGGGAGATAATGGGATAAATTGGGATAGAATGGGACGTAGTTGGATTATATTGGGGTACACCGCAATGGGAGATAATGGGATAAATTTGGATAGAATGGGATGTAGTTGGATTTTTTCGGGGTACACCGCAATGGGGAAAGTAAGCTGAGAATCAGTAAAAAAAAAAAAATATATATGTATATGTATATATATGTATATATATATATATTTATATACAAACAGGGAAAAAATGTGGGTCAAATGCGGGCTCGGCATGCTTTTCCTCAAAATGGGGGGCCTGGCCCTTTCATTTCAAATTCAACCAGAAACTGTTCTTTCCTGAACAAATGTTCGATTTTCCAGGTGTCAATGGATTTTTTCCCTCAGCCAGGAGCTTTATACTGATTTCTGCGACGATGCAACGATGTCTATGGAGGAGTTGGAGGATGTGCAGATCTTGAGTTTCTAGGATCCATGATCGAAGTCTTACCCTCTGGTAATTCAACATAGCTATTGAGAATTGCCATTTATAGTTGATTTTCCCATAAAAATTGGTGATCATGGTGATTTTCCATAGTTTTCTGTATGTTTACCAGAGGGTCTCCTTTCTTGCCCCGGCGGGTAAACATAGACCATTTAAGTGGCTCCACTTCAGCAGGATCATCCAAGGGATCTGGGGTGGCACTGACAGATTGCCACTTGACATTATCATGTCACCTGTAGATTAAGGATTTGTTGTCCTCAGTATTTTTTTTACCGCAGAATAAGCCCAGGCGTCAACTGCAATCTCCAACAGGAAAACTCAAATCTACTGTGAGGTTCTGAAGAATTTTGCACACCATTTCCATTGCATTATGTCATAAAGTTGCATAGGGCTGATGCCTTCCCCAAGTCCCAACATGGCATTTAAGGTTTATAGAACCTCCATGTGGTGAAACTACAATTTACACTTGTGGGTATAACATCTTACAACTCCAGCTCCAAAAAATCCTAAATCTATGCAGAGATGTTAATGATTCGCATGCTTAGTTTGTCCTTTGTCCATACCTTTACAACTATTTTCCCTGTGACTTTCAATGACTGTTGGATATTGTTGGTTAAAACACAATTTGTGAAAAACATAGTAGTCTCATCATGGATGTGGCACGTTTTTTTTTTTGGCAGGGCAATTATGAAGCCACACGCATTGATATACAATGAACGACAGAGTATCACCCAACTATCATGGCATCATTGTGCTTTACATGGCCAATCTTATGACGTGGTTGTGGCTTCACCTGATTGCCAATCGGTTCATACTAAACATGGCAACTTTCGTGGTTTCTTTGGCAACGCATGTTTGATGCACAACCATGTTCTTATATGACTGTTGAGTATCATTGATAATCTATGTTTGCAGGACTTGGTCCTATCATGTCCTGGACGTTTCACCATTTAGTTCGATCAGTTTCCGCGGGAAACCTGAGTTGTTTTCGCAGTGTGTTGTTCACTTACTGGAGGGTCATGATTCAGAATATCCCCAGCACACATCCCCAATGCCCAACCTGTTGGTTGAATGAACCAGACATTTTGTTGCTTGGAATTTCCATATTCCAATATGCTAGAAAAAATATAACGACCTCACTGCGACGTCTTTGGAATGATGGTTAGGATTTAGAGAATCATTTCCAAATTGCCTTGTTTCAGGTACGTGAATTATGAAGAATCAAGCTAATTGTCTAGCCGAAATTGCCATGATATTTATATATATATATGTATTTGCTGGTTAGATTGATGTTCCATTTGGCATCAACAAATGCTCTCTGGCGATTGAACACGGCTATGGAAAATGGTTCATTTATAGATGACAAATGATGATAAAGATTACTGGTTGGTGGTTTGGAACATTTTTTTACGTTTCCATTCAGTTGGGAATGTCATCATTCCAACTGACGTACTCATAGTTTTTTCAGAGGGGTGGCTCAACCACCAACCAGTAAGGGATAACTATCCCAAAATGACCTCAAAGATCAGGTTAGTGAAATTTAATTCAGGTTAGTGAAATTAATGATGATAAAGATTATGATTTACCTCTTGAACATGGTGGTTTCCCATCCGTTAAAGGGCCAAAAAATGGTGATTTTTTTGCACGGTATCTGCGTTGGTATCAGCGCCCACGGCCTGCAAGTGAGAGCCCTGGCTGGCCCTTCATAAGACACACAACCTTGTTTTAAAGGATCCACAGGCAAATTCCCATTGATATCATTTTATATCCCTATTGGATGTTTTTTTTTACATGTAAAAAAAAACTGATATCACTTTTTTTTGTATCATATCCCTGTTGTTGTTCGTTAAATTCCAGTTAAATCCCGATCATCACCATGGATCCCAGTTGAAAGATACGTCCCTTCTGAGTTAGTGGCACAAGTGGCGTGGCACCTTCTGTGGCGCTAGGTTTGTGTGACTGGTCCTTGTCCTCCATGACTCTTGGAGTTCCTGTGGTGAAGTCTACAGCCCAGCTGGGACGTGTAGCACCTTGGCCTTGGCATCACGGCTTGGGGATGACATGGCTATGGGTAAACATTGAAGGCCCAGATATGTAAAACTGCCGATTTTAGATGATTTTAGATGATGTTAGATGATGTTAGATGATGTTAGATGATTTTAGCTGATTTTAGCTGATTTTAGCTGATTTTAGATGATTTTAGATTAATTTAGATTAATTTAGATGATTTTAGATGATTTTAGTCCAGTTTGATATTATATAATCATCCATAAGTCCATAAGCATTTACTAGTTTTAGTATTAATCATCCATAACTTCCACAACCCTTCAATTTTGGAGGTAATTAATTTTGGCCCCATACCGACATATGTAAATATGTATTCTCGATGGTTTCAGTTTTTATTGATGTTCCAATCCTACCTAGATGATGCCCAATGAATCATTTTGTTTTGGATAAACAAATAAATGATGTTTCAAAAGTACTGTATGTCCACAAATGTTGCAAAATGGGGCACCTATTTCGTCATTATCTCTTTTTTTCAGGGGTTAAAACCACCAAGTGGTACATACATACGGCATTGATATGTATATATATATATAATAATAACCATAATAATAATGATAATAATAATAATTGTGTATAAAGATATCTCTCTATAATATATATATATATATACATATTATATGTATATATATATATATACATATTATGTATATATATATATATACATATGGAGGGGTATTTTTCAATTCCGCACCCAATATATATATATATGTATATATATATATATATATATATGTGTGTGCCAATAGGTACCGAAGAATTGGAGATACAGTTGGAGATATCATGATGGTAAATTAGGTGACCGAACCCAGGATGACTCAGGATGACTGGCACCACCATGGTGATTTATCTGGAACAATTCCATGGTGATTCTCGATAGCCATTTGTGCGATCATTTGAGAATTTGAAGGTATAGGAATTTGCCCAAAGATACAACTGGTGAATGGATTGCAGATGGCCGCAAATTACTTATATTGCTGGTGACAAAAAGTAAATTTAGCAACAATAAGTGAAAAATAGTGAAATCGATGATAGGTACCCTCTGTTCATGACTAACATAGCCATGGAAAATGGCCCATTTATAGATGGTTTACCTATAAAAAATGGTGATTTTCCATGGCTATGTTAAAAAACCAGATGGTAAATGGTTGGTTTGCTAAGTTTGCTACCAAGAAAAACGGACATGTTGAAAAACACGATAATTCCGCGAGGTCACTTGAATTCTTGCGGCCATGGTCAGTGAGTTGGATGGATTACCATCTGGTTATTTGTTAACAGTTCGCCATGGAAAGATCCACCCATTTTTAATAGGTAAACCCAGGTAAACTATCTATCTATAAATGGGCCATTTTCCATGGCTATGTTAAATAACCAGAGGGTAATCGTTTTTGCTGGACAAATGATTGAACAATTGAGTATGATTGAGTAATGCTTTACATTCCACTGACGTTGATGGCTGTTTTAAAAGGTTATCTAAGGTCAAGCGTGACTTTGGACCCCAGAGTCTCTGAGAGTTTGAGTCTTACATAAACTATCAATAGGGTTTATCAAACCAGCACTTCCCTGGTAAAAATTGCCAAAGTGGGCGTATACCGTATACCCCGAGTAACCCAAATGAAGATGTGGATGTGGATCATTCATGGAACATTTTCGAGCAACCAAACCGACGAGATCACTACCATCCAGTAGGAAACACAGAAAACATGTGGAAATCCATCTGTGTTTCCCTTGGAAATGATTTACTTTCATCTGTGTCAGTTTCTTGGAGAATAGATGAAAATGCCAAAGGGAGGAAACATGAAAATGCCAAAGGGAGGAAAAATGAAAATGCCAAAGGGAGGAAAAACAGGAATCACAAAAATAATGAAAAAACTTAACGGGGATAAAAAGGGAATGCTAATTTTCAATCCAAAAAATGATGATCAAATAAAAAAAATGAAAAGAATGCAAAACCATCATTTCCAGTCCCTGGCTGGCTGAGATGAACATAAAGATGATCCAGGGAAAGTTGGGAGGTAGCCTATGGCTTAAGCCATCACATGTTGGATAAAATGTTGACAGTCGATCAGGAACTGACTGGCTTCAAGCACCGGAATGAGAAGGCTGGATAGGTAGTGCCTGGAATTTTGCTGACTGATGTGCCATATTTTCTCACAATGGCAACGAGACATTTTGATGGGATAATGGATGATTTATGGGACAATCAATGGATAAGTAATGCTAATTAATGAATAGTTATATAATGTATATGATATTTGGTGGTTTATCCTCTGGTAATCTCCCATGGCAGTTGTTTTCAATGTCTAGGCGATGTTCCATGGCTGTGTTTGATTACAGAGGGCAAACATGTGCAAACATGAACTGTGTTTCTTATGTTGTTTTTTGTGTCATATTATGACAGGTGTTTCCATTGTTTTGCGTGTGTAGATCATGTGTTTTTTGTCGTTTGGTGGCAGCAAAGTTGGTGGAAATGGGGGTTTCATGGCTGGGGGTACGGCAATAGCTGGATGGGTTTCATGGAAAATCCAACAACGAAATAGCTGGATCACTGGGGTTACCATCTGGTTATTTAACAGTTCGCCATGGAAAGATCCACCCATTTTTTATAGGTAAATCATCTATTTCTATGGCCATCTATACCATGGCTATGTTAAATAATCAGATGGTACCATTTTAGGGAAGCTCCGATACAATGAATTCCCGCTCCGTCCGAAGCTGTCAGGGACACTTTGAGGTGTCCTTCAAGGTTCATCCCGCAGGCGCAGCTGGAGTTTCCCAGAAGTTGGGACAATTTTGAAACATGTTGCGCAATATTCTATCATATTCCATCTATAGAGATAGGATATGATAGGATAACATAATGGATCATAATGGCCGTAATTTCTATATATATATACATATATCAATCTTCGCAATGGTTTATCCATCGCTCAGCTGCAAGGCGCTGATCCGGTGATGGCCGAGGCGCGATTTAATCATGCGTTGTATTTAAACCGAAGATATGATTGAGATATTTTTTGGGATATGTGACCAACAAAGTTATTAATTATATTACAATTATTGTATATATATATATTGATTTGAACACATGATTCTTTTCTACAGCGGAACCGCCGCTAGATAAGAACTGATTAAGAATTTTCCAGCCTACCCTGGGGTTTTAAGTGCTATAGGTGGAAAATATGGGAATTATGAACGAGGGTACCCTCGAGTTCTTAATGGGTTAGTTCTTAAGGGGTTCGTATGGTGAGGGTTTTGCCAATCCATTTTGGCATTGTATTAGGTTGCAAATGAGGCGGGGGGAAGAAAAACAGTTTTTAGGTCCCGAAAAGTTTTTTCAGGTGCAGGCATTCCAAACAGAGCTATAGGCCAGATATTCCACCATGCCAGAGCTTGAAAGTTTATTTTGGCATGGAATTAGGTTGCAAAGGAGGCGGGGGGAAGAAAAAACAAATCAGGTCCCGAAAGTTTGTTTTTGATTTGGGCGGCCGAAACAAGGCAGCACAGGCAAGACATGACAAGCCCAGACAAGCCAAGACAGGCCAAGGGCAGCCTCCGAGGTCAGATGAGCTTCAGTGAGTCCGGCTGGTGTCTGGCTGAAGCTGTCGACATCAGCCTCATCAGCCTTGGTGACGACGTAAGCGTCCGCATCTCCCTGGGGCCGCACCATGTTTGTCCCCGGCATGGAGTTCCGCGGTACATAATCTTTCTTTTGGGAAATAACTGCTAATAATCAATGTTTAACAGTATATTGATACCCGTTAAAGGGAATAAGAACCAGTGGCTAGAATTCCAGGGTACCCTGGGGTTCTTATTTCAATTAGCTGACAGAAAGGGTTGAATCCAGCAATCCAGCCCCTGAAGTTCTTATTGCAGCAGGTTCTTCAACAGTGGTCTCACTGTATCCCAGAATTACCATTTGAACTGAAAAATTGATGATGAACAACCCCCCGGGATTTGGGGCAACCAATTTTCAGACAAACCCAAAAGTAGTGGGTGGAAAGGCAAACCTAAAATAGGCAGTTGGGATTTGTTTTGTTTCAACAGCCTGTGAAGGGGTGTTTTAACTGTACTACCATTTAGGCAGTGAAATCCACTTTTGTTTGAATCAATTGCATGATGCCCAGCACAGGTTTGACCGAAATCCATCAGTGTCGAGTGGGGTCTATAATCTTTGGGATGACTGAAATACTTATTGTCACGGGGTCGCTCTAGCCCAGGTAAATTACAGCCAGAAGAGGGCGGCAACTTGCCATTTTACCTCTGTAGTTCCTCCCCTGTAGCTGGGGTGTTGGGAGCGACAAAATCGGAGTATAGATGGTTTGGTTATATCCGCCTTCTTCTATCCAGATTTTATGCCTCAATTACATGGTTGACATTTAAGGGGATATACATCAATTAACCCTATCATGTGGATATATATATATATATATATAGTATATAATTATATATATAGTGATAGATTTATATATATATGTATAATGATAGATTTATATATATATATATACATACTGTATATTATATATATATACATACCCCGCGATTTTGGGCTATAATCAAAATACCGCAAGTATGGTACCCAATTATCACCTCAAATATCATAGCTTACCTCACTTATCACCTCAATAACCCGATCATTAATCACTTGAAGGTTATATCCCTATTGTATGTATATATGTACGTTGTACTATATAACATTATATGTCCCCATGATTTTGCAAATTACCCCAAATGTGGTTCATAACCGCAATTATGGTCTATTATGGTATGTTTTTGACCCACACATAGAAATATGTATATATGTATATATATATAATATAATCATAGGGATGTTAAATCATCAACATACCCCACTTACACATATATATATATATTATGATATTCCATCATAGGGATGTTCCATAGGTATGTTTCAGGGATGCTCCACATGTATATATATATATATACATGCATCTATATACATATACACATACACATATACACATATATCAAATTATACATATATCATAGGGATGTTCCATCTATATCTCCATAATGGTGTATCTATGACCCCATGATTATTTAAAATCATATGGACGTTCAATATATTTCCCAATTACATATGCATATATTACATACATACATATGGGTATAGGTCAAAATTGGGTACCCAAACAATTAGATGCTTAATAGTAATCATATACTAAATCTGTGGTCCCATAGGGCTTTGATTTTGACCCATCCCCAGATACACATTATATATCATAAAAAAATATATGTACATGATCACAGGGATGTTCTATCCCGTCCTGTATCCCGTCCTGGCAGGCGCCCGAAGCCTCACGGCCAAGCTTGGCTGAGCTGATGCCCAGCGTGGAACGGCCAGCTTGGTGAGCCCCCTAAAGGGCCATGAGTTTCCTGGGGAAAACTATGGTGTATGATATATGATTTTATATGGTTTAAGTTGTTCATATGTTCTTCGATATTTCATATGTTAATATGCTAATAGTATTTTTACTATAGTCTTACAATATTTAATTCTGAGTGGTGGTTTCATTGTAAATATATACATATATATATATATACATATATCGATCATGAAAAAATATATACATATATGCACCTGTAGAAATGGTAGTATTATATATTATATACGGGTGAAGTCTTTGGTTCATGGTAGATATAAAAAACGAGTACTCATGTGATGTATAAACCAACAATCATAGCTGGTGCGGGGTGGAATTGGAATGTACTAATTTCTCCAGCTGAGGAACTAAAAATATGTTTTCTTTCTTTGCATCTCATACAAACTCTATAATACTTGGGAGTATTTGCTCACACCAGCTAGTTGTTTTTTCCAGGTATCCAGATTTTGCTATTGTTAGAGGACACCAGCAGGGCTTCCTAGAGAGAAGTGACATGCAACATTTGACCATCAAGGATGCGAACAAACACCGTGAATAGACCCAATCAGCAATATAGATCGGATATTCAGGCACAGGGGACTGCAGATTGACTGCGTGCTTTGTTGTAGCAAACCAGGGAATTATTGGGTACCCAAATTTGAACCATCCTTAGGCAATTCGGGCATGTCCAGTTTACACTCTCCGAGAAAGCAAACTTTGCCATGATCATACTTTGAGAACTTCCTGCGTGATTTTTTGACAAGTCTAAGTACGAACTTATTTGGACTCTGGTGTCATCGTTTTGGTTCATATTTTGTTAGTGCCATTTTTTCCCTTAATGGTGCAAAAGTATGCACTGTTTATAGATTTATCACCAGATGTTGGAAGTTTGGATGCGTGATTGATCTGGCTACGGTGGATGGAATTGCATGGTTTTGTCGTGCTGGACACGTGTTTGTTTGGTTTGTATTGAATGAGTTTTTTTGGTGTGTTGTTCCACCAGGTCGAAAGATGGGTGCAAAGTGCAAAACCTGTTGGTATTTGCTGGTATATAGTTTGTTATAAGGTTGTAATTGCTGCGTGCATGATCCACATAGAAGTGTGCTTTAGTGGGAAGGTAGGTAGCTAGAATGGACTATATGAAATGTGTTTACTTAATCAATGAATTGAACAGCAATTCGAAAACACCGAGAGCAAAAAACATCCAGATCTATGGTATATTGACCATAGATCAGTTTGTTCATGTGGGGTAAATACACCAGACATGGATAGGGCTATATTCGTTGAGAGCGCCAAGAACATTGCTGACCTTGGGAAAGACCATTTGGTGCGGTGTGCCACTGCGAACAGCAGAACGTGCAGCGGTAAAAACGAACAGCAGAAGTTGCGTTGAAGGGAGACTTTGAAGGGCATCTTCTAATATTTTGTGTGTCTTTGATGATGCAGTTTTGAGTGCTTTCCTGACAATTTTCCCTTGATTCAGCCAAGACTGACATGAATGAACCTTTGCCAAGAAAGTCATTCTTGTGTTGATATGAGCAGACCCCCAAGTATATGGGGGGTGATACTACCATGTAGTACCATTTAGGGCCGGAATAAATGTCTGTATTGCCGTATTGATAACTGGAACTTGATGAACAGTGACATGTAGCCAAAACGGTGCACCGTTCGAGTACAGGCTGCGCTGTGGGCAGACCATAGTTAGTGAGCTGCTGCCAATGCTGGGTGTCCCTTGTGGACGTACCCTGGACATGGCACTGTTGGTTGGCAAAATTTGGAAGAGTGATACAGGTACCATCAGGTACCATGGGCTGCGCGTGTCAAATTTGAAGACCCCGCCTGAGGGGCCTGGGATCCTTTTCGGTTTTGATGTTTCTTAAGTTGAAGCATGAGAAGTGTCGCGTTTGAAGGGTTGTTTTTTTAGGAGTCCATGACTGAGCTTTACTGCCAAGTACTCAGATCATCCCATTCTTAGAATGTGTGCAACATGTGATCCTGAGTGAAGCTTATGATGACTGTGTTGCAGACATTGGTAACCTTCTTCCTTCTTGTATCTTCAAGAGCCTTGCACATTTTTTAAAAGAACACATCGAAAACCCCATGGTGCCCGATGTTTGAACGAGACTTTGTGGAAACCCCGTAGCATTTCTTTCACCCCTTTGCGAACGTTGTCGCTGATGCTGATCGATACCCGGAAGATGTGAAAACCAGTTGTTGCAGAATCTTAAAATCACCAAAGTTACGTATGGTTACGTATGGTTACGTATGCTGGTTGGTCAAACATTTTTTATTTTCCAGAATATATGGGATAATCCTTCCCATTGACTAATATTTTTCAAGATGGTTAAAACCACCAACCAGTATGGTAATCACAGTACTTGTTACTTAGACATTTCGGTGAATTTACAGATGTGTACAGTTGAAATTCACCAAAATGTCTAAATGATTGGCAATTAAACTTTGGAAAAAACAGAGTCCAGTTATGCCATGTAGCACCTCCCCAGCTCCATCCAGCTCCTTACCTTCGCACTGTGCATCGCTGTGCCACGTTTGCTCCGAAAGGGCGACAGAACAGGGGTGTTTCCAACAGCGTCATGCCGCTAGATGAGTAACTTGGCTCTCAGTTCGCAACTAGGGGGGAGTCTGAAGTCAGGCACCCCATGTTATTTTATCATCCAAGTTTCATTGGTCATGTTGAATCAGAAAAAAAGGTATATGATGAAACATGCACTAAAGGCTTAATTTTGAGGAAACCGTTGTTTCCTGTTCGCATCAAATACAACTACTGTATACCTAGGCTCATCAAGCTAGAAACCATTGTGCTAATTACGGTATAATTATATATCCTCCTTCATCAACCGCTGTTCAAGCATTCTCCTATGATTGCTTGAAAGAAAATGTCAAAGCACGACTCGAGGCCCTATCCTTGGATATACTTGGATGATGAAACCATGGAATTTTGCAAAAAAGGCGTCACATAGAGTGACATCAACTGTGTGTTGTTTGATTTCTTATTTCCAGTACCCTCAAAAACCATCATTGTTAGCTGCGCCAAAATTCCCAGTGACCTTCAAATCGGCGGATGTTGATCCAATTAGCCTGTTTGACACCCCAGTTTTGCAAGTGGACATTTTTCACCTGAAATATATCAGTGATTTTCCGAACTTTTCAAAAAAAACTGGAAAAAACACTGTGAATCCCAAGCTGGTTGGTGGTTTGGAACATTGCTTTTTTTTCCATATTGGGAATGTCATCAGCCCAACTGACATTCACTCCATCATTTTTCAGAGGGGTAGGTCAACCACCAACCAGCAAGGCTTTTCTGATGACCCCTCTGCCTCGCCCGAGGCAACTGCCATGGGACCATGTGCCGCCACAGTTGAGCCCTGCGGATGCGGCTGAGCTCATCTTGACGCACATCGAGAAAGGCGCCTTCGCAGGATGTGTCAAAACCATTGGTTTCCTGCGAGAGATGATGATTTCCACGGGGTTTTCAACCGCCAGGCCAGGTGTTTGCCAGGGACGTGGTCTCCAAGGCCGATAAGGAGGACTTGAGGCGGGAGAATCTCGTGAAGTGAGCAGGTGTTCAGTCCAGCAGTTGTTTATGAAATAGCGAGTTCATGAATCACTAATGTGGGCAAAACGATGTCACAAACCACCCATGACTGGGAATGTATGATTGTTTTAGCTGACGCCGCCTCTAAAGACTCCAGTCCGTTTGCAAATGTTTGCAATGTTGTCTTGTTACACGTCATATTTGCCATGTTCTTTTCTCATGCACGTTCTGCCATGTGTTGGGTGGGTCGGGGCTAATAACGTTCTGTCGCCTCTTCTCTGGTCACATGGGGGTGGTGGGGGCGGGGCTAATAACGTTCTGTGCACACAATCAAAAGTCACATCTAAGACGCTCTTGGTGCTACGCTCTTAACACTTTCATGTAACATCTAACACGCTTTGCACAGTTTCATGTTACATCTAAACACGTTCTTGCCTGTTTCAAAAAAAACTTTTCATGTAACATCTTTCAAAAAATCAAAATTCCCCAGGATCAGGTCACATGGTTTTCAGTGCCTCGACCGCCACTGGTCTACTTTGAATAAATATATCCCCAAGGAGTTGGCGTCCAAACATTCAGGTAATCGAGACTTGTTGTCTGGAGATGCAATGTGCGGAAGGATGCTCAGTTGAAACAATTTGTCAATTGACACCTTGGCAAAGACTTGCAAGTGAAAAACAACAAACATTCAGTTTTTTGAACATATGAGAACCGAAAAAACACATTTCTACCAATCTAAAATCATCGAAACGATTACGCAGTCATGCAAATACCAATCGAAATGCGAGTCTACACAAAATGCTGTGGACACAAAACCTTAGAAGGGTTGTCGGAGCAACAACTTGGAAGCAGGAAAAAAAAGGCGAAAATCACCGGGGTCATTGCGGGCGGCGTGACCTTGTTGTACCTACATTAGCTATAGTGTTTTTTTTTAAATATTTCAACGATCACACATATGGAGACTTGACTGATAAATGATGGTGCTTCTTAGGGGTTTGTATCATCCAATATACTTGTTGACGATCATTTACCCTCTGGTAAATTAACATAGACCCTGGCAGATAGGGGTTGGAAGATTAGTTTCCATTAAAACTAGGCTATTTTCAGGGTCTATGTTAATTTACCAGAGGGTATTTTTAACGGGGATCCCGTTCTCTCTCTCTCTCTATCAGGATTTCTATGGAATGACAACCAGCGTGTTTTGGTCACTGCTGTTGAGTGTACCTGTGGGATAAGCGCCAGGTTGCGATCACTTGCGATCCGTGGGATCTGATTCTTCCAGACACGTGAAAAATTGGTATTTGAATATGGAGTAGGGTCCGGTGTAACAGTGCACATACCAGTGCAAATATCTATATATATATATATATATGCTAGGCATGCCCAGGCTGCTCATAGCACAGATGTTGGCAAATGTGCCAGACATTCTGCGTGGTGCAAGACTCCCCCTTTGCACCATCTGGGTGTTTTTTGATGCCCCCGCAAATGAACATTCACTGAGAAGAAAATGATAATCATTTATAATCTCATAAACCATCCAGTTTAAGGTGCTATCCTGGGCAATTATCCTATATATTCCTATATAGGTTCAGATTAAACCATGCAATCTGGGGGTATCCTGGTATCGTAGATCAACCACCATCTTCAGGTGGTTTCAGCTTCGCCCTACGGCAGGAGATTTGAGAAGAAGGCCCTGGCAGGCTTTGCCAAAACGTCGTTGGGGCGCCCCATTCCGTTTCGTTGATCGCGCTTGAAGTGTCAAAGTCCCCAAGTCCCCAACTACTGGGCTGAAATCTCTGATCCACACTTCAATAACGGTCCGACGTATTTCTTCATATTTCTTGAATCAGCCTCCTGAGGTCTGCTACGTCTTCTTTCAACCTGATTTCTTGATGATTTCATAGCTGAAGGCACCAAAATGAATCGATCCAATATGACACCAGGGCTTCTAAGGGGGTACAATTGTTGGCATTGTATCAGATTGGGTTAGATGTCCTTAGTATATTGGGTGGTGTGTCACCATTAGCGTCACCATTGTCCACAAGAATCATAAACTATAACTTAACAATATGTTTTGGATCACATCCCCATGTTCAATGCTAAAATCCTCTAACTTATGGTTTAGTCCCCATTAGATACCCTCCTGTCAAGGGACATCGATGTGGAAAAGAAACCATTTCTAGATTATTTTCCGAATGGGTTCCCCATGGGTTTTCCACATCTATGTAAACGTTTGACCTAGGGTATTCCATCAAATCATTTTACACAACCATATCTGGTTGGTGGTTTGGAACATTTTTTATTTTTCCATATATTGGGAATAGTACTCCCAACTGAGTAATATTTTTCAGATGGGGTAGGTCAACCACCAACCAGATATAAATAATTATATATAGTTATAAATTCCATATATATATATATTATGGAACATATATATAATTCCCATAGGTTATTTACCTATATCTAATAGTAACTATAATATTTAATTATAACCTTCATGGGAATTATGTGTGTATATATATATATATACTCCATATATATTCCCATGAAGTCGCCATTAAATCCCCATGAAACCCCCCCAAATTCATGACCATAAATCCCGAGGCAAAACGCTGCCGCTGCTCGACGCTCTCCTAGTTTGCCTCAGCTCCAGAGATACTTGGAGGGTAAGCATGATTAGATTTCTGGTGCATGTATCTGTCTATAGTTGGATGGGCTAACATCAACCAACCTTGCTCAGTCATTTTTCATTGTTGAGAGTAGGCATAGAGTAGGCAGCGGAGTGGATGACAATTGAGCTTGATTGAACATGGGCTAGCTCAAAATCCTCAAGTTTTATTCACGTTCACTCTTAAGACGGTCACTATATTTGACACCCAAGTGAAGATCTGGTGGACCCTTGACATTGTGGGGTGGCTCTATGCATAGTACCCCCCCACAAGATGAGAAACGCGACATCCTACTAAAACCATTCACGCATGCAGAAACCCGCAATAGAATATGCATGCGTTTCATGTATAAACCCGCAATAGAATACTCTAGGATTGGGGTAATTCTATGTAATTCTTTCAAAGTGGCCGAACCTTTCAGGTTGGTCAACTATTACCCTCTGGTAAACTAACATAACTATGGATTATGGAAAATCACTATTTTTAATGGGTAAATCCACTATAAATGGCCATTTTCAATAGCTATGTTAGTTTACCGGAGGGTATTCTTCATCCACAATCCTGGTTGCCAGCGGGCGCAGCGCCTGAACATTTTGTAGGTCACATTTCACAGAAAACATCTTGCTACCTTAGTCATGGCGTGGGGTGGGGTTGGGTGAGCTATCAACGTTCATGTTCACTTGCCAATTCACTTGCCACACACTGGATGCTACGTTGTAAGATTTCTCTTGAACTTGAACACACTTGATGCTACCTTGTATGATCTTCTCTGGCAATTGAACACACACTTGATGCTATGTCGTACGATCTCTTGCGCATCAGTTTTTTTTTCGGCATTTTCGGGTATGCCTGATTTGTTTGTTGGTTTCATTGTTTCAGTTTGAGCGGTTTCGGTTTAGCGTAGGAGACGGGGCAAGGTGAAGGTTCCATGAACAGATGGGCAGCTCAGCAGCGCAGGTTGGATGTTCTCTGTCTTTTTGTGCAAATGCCGGCAGGAAAATCCGGATTTCTTTCCGGACCCTTTCAGGGCAAAAGCGTATCTCAACCACGTTCTCCACCTGCCCACCCCGAACGTCCTCGGCACCGCCATTTTGTTCGTGGAGATTGCGCAGGACATGGACTGATTGGAAAGATGTTATTGTTATCTTTGAAGACTTTGTTCTACATGTGTGGAGTTCTCTTGATTTTTTTCCGGCAAAGCATTTTCCGAAAATGTTTGCTCGAAAACTGTTTCTCCTTGGAGTGGTCTGTTTCCATATTGCGGAGTCTCTTGATGGTCGGCAGAAGTGGTTGTATCTCGCATTGCTAAAATGCTTTTCCGACCTGTTTCTGAAAGCGTGGTGAATTCGGGACATGCCAATTCACATTGACCATGGTCGCCTTTCTCCGGATTCGATGAAGGCATAAGAAGGTAATCCCCGCACATCCTTCAGGCCAAGGATGAAGACGCCCTCGTGCGTGCTTGGTCCGGGTACTTGGCCTTGGCGTTCCTCTGCCATTCGGCCTATGATTGCCCGAAAAAGTTTTCCAGCCGCCAAGTCTTGCCCCAAGCATGCCTCGTGCTCTGGGCCACCGATATAAAGCAACTGGGCTGGTCAGGTTTTCTTTTCCGTCTTGACGTTTAAGTTTTGGGGTTCTTATAGGGTAAGATTTTACACGGCGATGGGTTGGTCGAAGGTGGTGCCCGGGGGATTTCAAGTTATATGGTGCTTTTTCGAGCATATATATTCGATCATACCTAGAAAAATAGTAAATAAATCAATATATATATATATATATATATACCTAGAACCGGTTTGGTCTCTGTTTTGTATCCAGGGTATCTATTACGCTATCGTGATTTCGCTGAATCATGAATTACGCCCCTTTTGTTAAATTACACCCCTTTGTGTTTTTTCAATATTTTGTCAACTTCAATTTGGGTGGATATCGGTCTTATGAATGCAACATCACCTAATGATAATCCCAGCACATCTTTTTCTCCGGCGTTGTTCACCTTGGCTGCTTGGCTGTGATGCTGCTGACTGCCTGCTGAAAGCGTTCAAAAACACTCAACATTCCCCCAAACAACACTAAATTTATAACATTCACAAGTTGATGATATATGTTAGGCAGCACTTCAAAACAAACCATTTGAACTCAATCAACGGCTGTATGCATCCATACCCCTCCTATCCCCATCGGCCATTCTCAAAGCACGAGAGGCCAAGATTAAGCTTCTTTGAAGTACATTGGTGTGAAGCCGACGCATGTCAACACGTCTAGAAACACGGGCTGGTCTGCCCACGAAATCTTCTTGGCATTGTACCGAAGTACTGAGTGGGTTTTGAACCCATCTGGACTGAGATGCCTCCCGTTGAAGCTTTAAAGCTATATGGGAAAGGTAGTGAAGTTTTGGTATCAGCTGATACCTGTTCTTACCCGCCCTCAACGACAGGTAGGCAAGTCGCTGATACGACCCCAAAAAGTGAAACATATACTTCGCAACTCTCACGGCTTTGTGGCTGGGAATCCAAAAACCACAACTGTACAAGTACCCAAACATCAGGTTCATAGGTCTTGTTGCTTCAGCCTCACAAGACATTGCTGGCAAGGCCAAGGAATGGAATGGAGGGAAAATGGGAACACATGGAAATTCAAAACAGTACATAACAAATAATTATGATTATCATAAATTTAACATAGGGGAAATATGGAAAAAACTTATTGTTCGATACAAGAGGTAAAATTTTTGCTTGGCTCAACCAAGAAACAATCAACAAGAGGGTTTCATCAGCAGTGTGTCCAGTAACGTACTGCTTGCAAAACTCACTCAGGAACAACATAATTGTTGCACTTGCTGATCCTTTGTTCCATTTCCCAAGTGGTGTGGCAGAACTTTGTGGCCACAAGAGAGTATCACGGTTGATTTCAGTGATCCACATTGGACACTTCTTTCCCCTGCAAAACTCCTGGTACTTCTCGGTGATGAAGCCAAACTTTGTTTCAATGGATGTGAATGGTGCCAATGCTGGTAAATCAGACTCTGCAAGGAGGACGAATGAGGACCCCAACCAGTGTTTTGCTACTCCTAAGTGAAAAATATGCCACAAGTCGAAGTGGAAGAACTCACTTTTCTTCTGGGGGTTGATTGGCATGCCCCTCATGACCACAGGCATTGCAACCCAGGGAGCAACTGTGTCCATGGTAACCTCCCAACACGGATTAGGCGACAAGTCCTCGAAAGGAAAACTTGGAATCCCTCTTGCTTCATCCCCTTCTTGGCCACCAAGGCATCGATGACAAATCCCCAAGCACCTCTTCTTGCTTCTAGCCCCCCTAGGTGTCTGTAGGAAAGATCTCTTGAACCCCCCCAGCTTGCCAAGGGCGGGAAGATCACCCTTCGTTCCCAAATGCACCAGCCAAAGCCTTTGACCCTCAACCTCAATGCCCTGAGTTGCTAGTTCTGCAGCATCCTCAGCAAAAATCGAAACCAATTTTTCGATTGCATCAGGGTTGTCAGTCGCAGCTTGCCGCAACATGGTTGCAAACAAAAATTGCCAACTCCAGCTAGGGGATACGAAGTTCAGCCCCATCTGGTTCCGTTTCAATGGCGCCAAATGTTTCTTTTTCCCAAGATACTTTTTTGTTCCTCTCCCTATGGCACCATGTAGCGAAAACACCCAAATGGCTTCTTTCTTGTAGGATCTTCCCTCATCTGAATGTGAAAAGTAAGGGATCGTCATGCGGAGATCAATGTTCCCAGCACGGGCCATGCCAAAGACATCATGCCCACCATTGACAGACTCATAGCGATGCCAAAATTCTGGTAGGACTCTTCTCATTTTGTTCAAGGAACTTACCCCGCATAGTTGTCTAGCTATTCGTTGAATCCCCAAGAAGACCAGCCAAGTGCTGAACCTGATGTATGGGAATGTCCGAAGTTCCCGGGGTCCGAGATCTACATGACCAACTGCAAGGTTGCAAGAAAAACCATGCTTTTTCAACACATCGTGGACACCCACTTCAGCATCAGAAAGCCGGATTCCCGCAAACTCTTGCAGTGCCCTGCTGGGTTGTGGATTGTTCCTGACCTCGGCCTGCGCCAGCTCCACCACATGTCGACTTGGGGCCTCAGATCGGGCAGTCACAAAAAAGGTAAGGACAAGTTATATAAAAGACAATACTAAGCTATTTGTAAAGCTGTCAACTGGTATAAGAAGAGAATCGCCAGGAAAAATAATGCTCTCACAACCTGTTCATAACTGGTCATTTGCTGATATTTAACGGTGTTTGGTGGTGCTTGGTGTTGTTTGCTGATGCATGCTGGCTGCTGCAGGCAAGTTTTTTTTCCCACTCAGCCCTGGTCATGTCAACCTACCCTTCGGTTTTGATCAGCCCTGGCACCTGTGATGTAAACAAAATAAGGTGGAAATGGTGGGTTTTCCCTGTTTAGGGCTCCTTCACCACCTGAGCCAGATTGGTTCTGGCACCCAACATGTTTGGAAAACTCGCTGACCAACGCCGCTTCTAGCATTTGCACTAGGTCAATGCTATGCGACACACTGATCAACCACATGTGGGTGTAACCCTTTTTGATGTAGGAAATGAAGCGAATCAAAGGGTTTGAAGTGATTCCAATTTTGAAGCAGCAGAGTCGAACGCCTATTTGCTCACGGAAACTCGTTATGAGGTCTTTGGCATGTTCCAAAATTCTACCACAACTGATTTTTTTTTCAAGCTGCCCCCTAATGCAGCGATTGTGCAAGCCATGGTCTTTCACACCAGTCCAGTCAAAGGTGGATGCGTCGAACTTTTCCCCAAGTTCTTGCAAGGCAAGCATAGACTTCCGCCAGTCCTGAGAAAAACAACATTGAGAGATAGGTAATGGTAGGTCTATCAAAGAATTATATAATGAGAACGCATTCACCAGAACTTATCATTGCATATTAGAAAGTTTGTTGACATATCAGCAACACTATATAAAATGGATGTTTGATGATTTTTGTCATTTTTGAATTGCAATTGGCCATGGCAAGCTGCTGGTGCTGATGACTTCAGAGGAGAGGATAGTGGCTTTGGGGCTGGAAGAGCCTCCCCAGTAGACTTGAACTCTCCACGGGTGAAGTAGTCGTCATAGACCCCAACATCATGTGACACAGAACTCTTACATGTATTATCTGGAAGTGCCGCTGGCGACATCGCAGTTGATCCAGCTTCAGATTGTTTCAACTTCCTTAGTCTTCAAAACATGTTGCGTTGTTGAAACCAACTGGGCTCTATAGTTTTACCATCACAGCCAGGAAGGTAGGTTGAATTTTGCACAAAGGAATGCAACTATGGAGCTCCGTAGGTTGTTGCAGTTCATCACTAAGACTAGCTAATCCAGCTGTACGCTTTCGTCCAGTAGTCGGGTCATCATAGGTGAGAAGTTCAAGGAGAAAGTCAGTCTCCATGGCAAGTGGGTACTACTCCAAAAAATTGCAGAAATGAACTGGTTGTTCTGAAATATGTCTAATCAACTTGTTTGAAGGTTTGTTCTGCTGGAAACTATAGACTTTATATAATAATTATATATATTGAAATTTTGTTGTAATGACCACCAGTATGGAGTTTTGTTGTTTTGTGAACATCTTTGGTTGTAATTGATGGTGTTACGACCCTGGTTTTGATGAACACGATTCGAACCACAAGCCAAAAGCTGGCGGTCCATGCATCAAGTCTTGACATGTAGACCCCACTGGTTTCAGATCCCATCGCCAACTCTGGACTCTTGAGGACCCAGCGCCATTGCCAATCAAGCGGGCCATGTGCGCAAGGACTTCTGTTGAGTTGTAATATCCTGGCATGGGAGTTGAATGATTGGTGGCAAAGGGTAATGGGGCACAGGAAAGAGAGGGAGAGGTCATTGGGCCCCTGGATTTTCCCCAACTTGGCTTGCATTTAGAGGAGTAATTTGCATTCAGCTGAAACCTTTTTTGTGACAAGATGTGTCAAGCGTCAAACCCACGGTGGCAACTGTTCACGTGCAATGTATGCACATGTTCCACAGCTAGCACATGAAATGTGCTTTCCAAATGCCGCAAATAGTACCGAATCCCTGATGCAACAGCTTCGTGTTTTTTCAGGGCTGCCCCAGAGCCCAAGATCCTAGAGGAAAATGCATGTTTAAGAACATGCTCTTAGGGCCCCCAAACCCCTGAAAATCTATGGGCCATCACTCATTCCAGCTCTCAGCCATCTTCTTCAAAGACTTCACCAAGTTCCTGATTTGGCAGAGAGAAAAATTGGGATTTCTATATTCATGCATGGAAAACCTGACATGCTACTAAAGCATGTGGAGATATGTGGATTCATGCCATTATTGAAAAGTGTTTGAACTCCTTCCCCCCCTCCAAATTTGAAATGAGGGTCTTGGCAGTGTTCTCCGTCGTGGTGATCGATGTGCACCTCAACAATGCAGACCAACAACGTTTTTTAGCATGGGATACTGAAATTTCAACCAGCCGCTTCACCAGGACCGCTGATTGGGGCCAACATTCGAAATGGTCAAGGCACTTCAAAGTCGAGTCAAGGACTTGCTTGTCAATTTGTTGAACCATCCTTGGATTGAGATGGAAGAAGTAAAATCATAAGTTGATCACAACAAAGATGAACTGCAACTTTTTCATAGCATCGATTTAAACATGGTATTGTTGATCCCAAGAGACTGTTCAATACTACTGGCATCCTTCAAAGTTGGCAACTTGGAGACCTGGGCCTTAATGGCTTCACATTGCTGATACTCTCGATCCAACACCTCCGTCGCCTTTTCCAGGGCATCGACTGACCTGAGCAGCGCAGTTGGGGCACCCTGGGGCTTGTGGGCTTGGATTCACAAACAGTTAGAGCAAACAAATTGATTTTGCTGGGAACATCATCGAATTCACATGTCTAATCGTAAATGGGAAATACGATGAAATACCTAAGAATTGGGCTTCTTGACTCGTTTTCCCTCATTTGTCTCGGGCCCTTTGCCAGCTGCATCAGCAGCTGTCTCCAACTCCACTACCAACTCAGAGAGCTTGGTGGACCGGTTCAAGAGTGACGTCGCAAAGTTCTTGAAGCGATCAAACTCCTGCAAAGACATTAGCTACAAAGAAGGTTGTTTCTTTAGAAACTACTCAAGTAGTTGGGAATCCCCTCAAGTAACTAGTGTTTTTGTATAGCATGGACATGGATGTATATATAATAATGAATATAAAAATTGAGCTCCTGCTTGGGACCATTGGTCTGTTTCACATTGCCCTCACGCCCTTCATCATCACTGGACTCATCACCAGAAGAGTGTTCAAAAGGGTTTGGTGGATTGGCACCCTTACCCTTCTTGATGCTGAATGCCACGGGCTTGTCGCTCGCCTGAGGCTTGGAAAGACAACATGTTGGAAGTTTTGGAGTTGAAGGCCAATGTCAAGACCTATGTTCAAGCCTTAAACTCTTCATGTCGCTCGGTCTCTTCAAGGTCGGAGATCTCTGAATCCCCTTCTTCAACCACCACATGAAATTTGTCAATTTTCTTGTTGTACCTGTCCTTCCTGAGCGGGTGTAAGGTAGGGACCCCCATCATCAGGAGAAAATCAGGATAACATCTATATAGTGTCAGTTCATCTTGGAAACTCCCATATGCAATCAGGATTCTTGACCAGTCGCTCATTCCCAGGCTTTCTGCAATATGCGATGACTGACTTGATGTAGGACCTTCACATACTAAGTTGGAGTTGTTTAGCACGACAGTGCACAACAGTAATAAACAGCCATCAAAATATATAATACATGAAACTGGTTGGCTAGATTACGCAAAGGGACTTAGACCAGTTCAGGGTTCGAGCCATTCCCTCCTCAGTGTACCAACGTCGGCTCTTCTTCTTCGTCAACTTGTTGGTTTTCAACACGGTTCGTTGGACATGGGAAACAAAGGCATCCTGCACAGGTGGCTGATACATATGGCTTTCATGTCTTAGATGTTCTCCATGTAAGATACCCCTACGACAGTGTAAAACTGTGACATTCTGTGATAATAACACATCCTACTACCAGTCCTTGTCCCAGTCGCAAGACTCAAGAGCTTCTAAGAGGTCCTCCCGGTCCCTACCACAGTTGTTTTTCCACTTTAGGTGGAGATCCTCTGGCACCAGTAGCTTGCCTGAGGGTTTTCGCTCGCATACCCGCCTAAGGCGAGCACTCCGAGCAGCTTCCGAAGTATCACCAGAAGGTGCAGAAGGCACCACCGGTTTCTCGTGGCTCTTGTCAGGTTTGGCCTTGGCCTTGGCTGCAGTCTTCGGGGCTGTCTTTTGAAACTCCTCATGGCTACTCATAGGACCCGATGTCTCAGAAGCAAGTTTCTCCAGTTGCTTTTGAAGCTTTGAACTGGCCTGCAGCCAGCAATCATCTTGAAATAGTACTGTACATGTTGATTTAAGTTTTAAAAGCAACATTACTGTGAGAATTGTTTTTACCTACTATATCATTTGTGCATATATATAATATAGCTGAAAACCGCATGAACACCAAAAGCAAGAGTGCGAAACTACCATAAATATGCATAAATACTGCATACAGTTTGCCAACAAAATGAACTAAGACAATGGACATATGAGCCTCCACTACATAACCGTCAACGGTCATTAACAATCAGTGTCATGAGTAGTAATGAGTAGCCCAGCCTTCTTTAACTCAGCAATCTGCCTATCCTTGTCTGGATCAGGCAACTTGCTGCGGTGCCTCTTCAACTTGGCTGGGTTTCCCGAACCAGGCTCGGACTCCTGGTCTGGTTCCCTGCTTTTGCGGGCTGGAGTGGCAACGGGTCTGGGTTTCCTGGAAGTCAAGGAAGGTTCTTTGTCGCTCTTGTCCTTATCCTTTGATTTGGCTTTCTCCAATTCCACCTCTGTAGCCTCAAAAAGCACATATGATTGGAGTTTATGACCTTTGAATTGGTGGACAACACACATTCAAGTAAATGAGTTGCAAATCAGGAACCGGTTGAGTATCACTTTCAGCCTCAGGTAGGTTCAGGCATCGGGTCTCAACCTGTATATCCATGATCAAGGTACAGAAGATTAAAGATGGTAAATCACGATTTCTTTTTTTGCTACACATCACAAGTACTAGTAGGTTCAATATGTTTCAACTTAAAATGCATAAACCATAGCTGCTTGGGAACCATTGTCTTCTTCAGCACAGCAAGCTTCGCTTCATAGTCCTGCTGGTTTGTGAAGAGAATAGAATGGGATAAGTATCGAAAGTCATTGGTTCATATGAATGAGTCACCCTTCATATCATGTTGATGATGCTACCATTCACAATCTGAGGGAAACAGTCCTTGATTTGTGCTTCAAGTTCTTCATCGCTGTCATGTTCTTTCTTGGCCTTTACCAACTCTTTATGTCCATTTACCATATCCGAACAGCTCCACTGACGAGATGGAACCTTGCCCCTCTTTTCGGGCCCCGACATGCAGCCTGTCCCTGGCCAGGTTGCACTTTTCACCGCTGAGCCCACTGCAGAGGCTGCACCATGGAGCAGTTTGTTGGAAGAATGGACGGGGGATCTTGATAAAGTCTTTTGGTGCACTATGGGAGTCAAGTTTTAGAACCGAATCCCCTTAAAAACTTGTTTAAAACCATAGGATGCAAAAGGTGATACCGAACATCTTTAGATGCATCATCAATGTATTCCAATAAGATCTGAATATGGCTGACAATCTGTACAAGACATTTGCTGGAATGATTGAGATTCCATAATCACATGTAGGGAGAAAAACAATAAATCAATGATGGATTTATTCTTCAATTCCCCATTGGTTTTCTTAGCAATAATCCCTGAAAACATCATTCATGGGGAGTCAAAATCCATTATTTTGCCTATATATGGATTACGGGCAAATTACGTATAAATTACGTAATTTGTTACGCCTTTTCACGCCCCTTTTACGCTTTTTTACGCCCCTTTTACGGGTGGTACATTCGTTACGGGTTCGCTACGTAATAAATACATATTTTCTACGTAATTACGCATAATTACGCCATAATCCCATGAGATAGCAACATTTTCCAAAATCCATTGTTTTTCTTTAAGGGCAATTGAAAATATCTTGTAAAGCCATTCAGTGGTAAAGGAAAATAGACTCGTTCCTTTTGAGCCCCTTAGGTAGACCAGAACAGTTTGGGGGTCCCATTAAGAAAAGGTTATGCTCACCTTGGGCTTTGGGGTTCCCCATGATAAAAGTTGCGAAAGATCCACTCCTACAATGCACTGGACATCACTGGACCATATTTTTGCGACCGAATTGCAGTTTTGCTGCTTCTATCAAGCAGTCGGGTCCAGCTAATTTCTCACCAGCCACCTCCCATGCCATTACTCTATGGGATATTGGCACTTACCCAGTAGGAATATTCCCCAATAATGGATTTGCTTGGTAGCTGATTTTGCTTTGAAGTTGTTCAGATATGAAACTCATCATCCCATGATTAAAGTTATATGGGGATAGTGGTTGGAAATAAGGGCCTCCATTCGCCCAAGTCGAGGCCTTTTGAACCTCTTAAGTAGCAAAAAAGGTCAAGTAGACCTGCATCCTCCCACATGTCTACTGGCTCCCATTGAAGGAGAGAGAACAAGGTTGGGAGAGGGGTACTCATACCAACAAGTTCCGGTCGGAACGCTTCTCTCTGGGCGCAGAAGCGGGCATGGTATTTCGCCACCCGAAGTCCAAAGCGAGGTGGGTATGTCCTTGGCCGCAGGCAATGTGAGCAAAGATCACTAAAGAAGTTGAAGATGGCAGGTGCATTGGGAATGGAGGGTTGGGGAAGCCCTTCTTTGGTGTTCCTTATAGAAATTGGCCCAAAAGAATCAAAAGATTAAACATCCTGAGGCAATTCTTAAATAAGGGGCCAAACAGAAAACCATTGTCTAAGTTGAATCCAGGTCTCTGCGTTTGTTTCAGAAAGCGAGATCCGGCAAAGGACCTCTTTCCAGATGACTTAGACTTGTAGGTCTTGGAACTCTTGTATGCATGCTTGGACAAGGCTTCACGTGCCCGTTTCACCAAAGTACCCAAGTTGAAATTAGCAACAGTTCTTGAATTTGAATATGCAATGTGCCGCTTTGGTGTCAATCCACCATACATAGCCATCCACCAATAGGCTTCAAAAACCTTCCAGGGTCTTTTGGGGTGCAGTAAGGAACACTTTGAACCAAAGCCCAAATGGTTGATGATACAATCACCCTGTACTCTAATATGTGTTTTCATGAGACGCACAAAAATAAATCCAAAAAAATGTTGACTTGTCCCTTTAGGTAAAGCACCTTCGGCATCATGCGAAACACATGTCGCACCCTAGGGTGCCAAATCAACCTTGATGACCTTGGCTGTTCCAGTATCCATGCCCCAGCCATGGCACTTATTACCAGTAGAAGAGCGCAAATCCTTGGCTATCAGACCAATTGCCCAGGAAGGAAACATGATAGTGGACAAAAGATGGCACTGGTATTATGTTCATGCAGTGGTTTGTTCAATAAAGATCCCTGAAAAATGTTACATGTAGTCAGGCTACCGACTTGTCAGGAGATTTCCAATATCCACGAATTCAACTCCCATTTTCCCGAGAGGATTGAAAGGTGCTCTTTGGTGGGTTCCAGCCGACACAGTAACATAAGAACTGCAAACCAAGCCAATCAGGACCAGGAAGTTTTCGAAGCGACAGTTGAGTATGGTCAGCAAGGCTAGCCTCACATCCACCATGCAATAAGGTGAACCCCATCAAACAACTGAAATATGTGCTGTGTTGATCTATATAACACATGTTTTATGATCTAACCACAGGTCCCATTTGTATTCCAATTTGAGGCAACATAGGCGATGAGGTTCCTATAGTTTTAAAATAGCACCATCCCACAAATAATGTTCCTAAGCCAAACCTAGCAACCCAAAGCCGCTGTCGGTGCACAGATCCATACAGTTTTCATGCTTGGGGTCAACAGTCAACTTGTACTGGATGTCCATACTGGCAGTGGGCACACCTGAATTTCTGACACATTTGCTAACCCACCCAGCACCAGCAAAGAGCTCCACGAACCCATAGGCCTGTGCATTGATGGCAGGGATGTACATGTTTACTTTGACACATATGATTTCATATATATGTAATACTGCTTTGCTCCTTTATGTACTGTTGTCAGGATCCATCACCCAACCACAGAACCACCAAGCACAACCCTTTTTAAGACTTATTGATGATGCTGCTTGGCAGGGGAAAACTGCAACAGAAGAAAGAGCAGCACCAGGCAGGGCAGGCCTCTGAAAAGACGGTGATGTCCCGGTTGGTTGAAAGCATGATGATGCATGCGAGCAGGTACTTCAGGGATCGCACCCCAAGCTAGATCCACATGGAAATTGAATGGGCAGTATTGATATCATACATTCTATGTTGCACCGTTGCCCTGTTATATATTAGAATATATTATATATATATATCCCCTGGTCATCCTGTATCTTCACAACTTGTAGTTTGGAGCATGGGTAGATTTAAAAATGCTTTCTGGTTGGCCACAGTGTTGCCATACTCTAATGATATTGACTTAACTTCTCTAAAAGGTATTTCCATAATATAAAACATAATATAGTATAATATGGTTATCTTCATGGCTATTTCATGTTGGGGTAAATCTTAACATTATTATATGAATTGCATACTTTGGATAACATATACTGTACTAAAGAGCGCCACGGAAAGGGCCCCTGTCCTTTGGAGCTCGAAAAGAGTGTAAGCGCCGGAGAACCAAGTCTAACTTCCTAGACTTTTCAGGATCCATGGTGGCGCCCCCCCCGCCACAGACAAGAATTCGGACTTCACAAATGCCCAACTTGAGCAAAAAATATAGCAAACAAAAATCCATCAATGAAAATGAATGTCCATGCCAGCAGTAGAAACATCCCCCAATTGCAGCACTTTTGATTGAATGGGATATGCTGGGGATGGGTTAACTTATGGAATAATGATTACCAATCATTGGATTTTGTTCCATTTCCTGAATGAAAGACACCACCAACCGGGTGCACCAAAACATGCACAGGAGACTCAAGTCATTGGGACCTCGTCCTTCCGGAAACGCCCTTGGCCTTTCCATGGCTCAGGCAGCACCTTGGAGGCCGAGATGAAGAGCAGGCATGAGATGGACAAACAGGGAATGAGGGTTAAATGGGAGGACCCAAAAGAACACATATATATATATAACACATAAGAAAACATAAGCATATAATACGAAAACCTACCCACAGACCAACTTGTTTCCAATGGTGTGGTCAACAGAAATTTTAAGATAGCCCTGATTCATTGATAACTTGCCATGTTTTTTTTTGAGGTTATCAATGGGACGCCACTTTGGATTTCTCACGGTCGATGTCGCAGCAACTTCGCATGGTCACGGAGCTAGATTGGAGACATGTGGTCTGTACTCCAGGGTGGCCAATACCCCTTGAAGCCCAACCAAAGCAATGATCAATTGAAAATGGATTGAAACCACTAGGTTCAATGCAGTTTAATGTTTTGATGTATAGGCTTCATCCCAAACCACAGTGGGGCTACAGCTAGCACATGCGCAGACTTCATATTGAAGGCACCTGCTCCACAAACACCTGCTCGCATAAATCCCGACGGAACTTGAAGATTGTGGCCACCATGGCCGATTTTGGCATGCCGATAAGATTGAACCCAAAAAAGCATACTGCATCATACTGCCATGCCTTGTGAAAGTAAATCAACATATAGGCTTAGACCTATATATATGGCCTGCTGGGCTCATGAAAAATATGATGCTTCCATTGGGTTTGAAGTGGCAGCCACGGGTGAGAAAATCAGTCGCTGTCACACTTGAGCTGAGCCAGGTAAGCCTCGGCTACGTCGAAGGCCATTTCGTTGAGATCATCCAGCGCATAATTGATATCAGCCCACTGCTCAGTGGCAAAGTTCCAGAACATGTCCTGGGGATGGCAGGCAAATCCTGTCAGAGAGTGGTGGTGAAATCATATTGATGGGTTCGTTCATGTTTACATATGCCCTTTTGAAGTCGAAGTTTGGGATTGGATTTTACCGATGATCTGATACCTTTTTGGAAACACTAAGATATTCTATGCAAAAAGTGTGATGCAATGTTGAAAACAAAGTTGTCGCATATCCTAAACCATTGAAGCTACACAAATGGGGAAGGGTGTGACAAACTAAGGTAACTAAGGGAGCCATTTTGAACTAAGTGAAATCCTCGTGGGCCGAGTAAGTCGTCAGGTAAGGCTTGATACGCCCTTCAAAAATATCCCTCAAAGCCGTCCACTTGGCCTTTCCATTGATAGACTTGGGGCAATACCTCCTGGCAAAGCAAGCTGGTCTGGTCTTTGGCTTCCCTTCCTCATCTGTACCTCTCTTGGTTCTTCCCGCCCTTGCACGTTCATGTCCTTCCTCCCCATCCTCAGTTGCTCGTCTCTTGTTGGTCTTCTCTGGAACCTTCTTGCCTGGATCCTCAGTGTCCGCCGTCTTCTTCTTCTTCTTTTCTTCCTCAGCCTTTTCTGGCTTCTTACCTTGCCCCTTTGGCTTGGCCTCTGCACTGCCACCAGTCTCTAGGTGGTTGGCTTTGACATGTTTTGCTTTCTTCGTCTTGGCACCATTGCCTTCATGCTCATCCGGCTTCTTCTCAGTCTCTTCATCTTCCTCTGGGTTCTTCGCTGTGGCTTTCTTACTCTTTTTCTCCTCAACTTTTGGTACCTTTGGGATCTTGCTCTGCTCCTTCCCTTTCTTTGGCTTGCAAGGCTCCTCATTTTCTGCAACTTCTTCCTTGGGCTTCCTTGTCCTCGTCTTCTTAGTCTCTCGGGCTGGTGTCTCTTCCGATGGGGTCTTCTTCATCTTTTGGTCTTCAGTTCCAAGGCGCGTCTCATCAGTCTTCTTTGCAACAGCCTTTCCCTTCTTCTTGGTACCTTCTTGATCCTGACCATCCTTTGCCAATCCTTGTTCAACTTGGTTCTTCTTGCCTTCATGGCATTCCTCCTGCTGGGCCCAATCCTCCCAATCCTCTTCCCATTCCTGGTCCCAAGCTGCTTGACCATCCTGCCATGCCTTTGAACCCTTCTCCCACTGCGTTCCTGAATCCTCTGCCCAATCCTCCTCCCAGTAGGCTTCCCAATCACCCTTCAGATTCTGTGCTTCAACCTTTTTGGTGCGATCTTCAGATGTATTTCCCGGATGGACCTGCTGGTCTCCAGTGCTTGCAGTCTTTTTGCCATGGTCTGTCTTTGCCTTTTTTGGCTCCTTGGTGAATTTCTCGTCTTCTGTCTCAAGCTTCTCATTCTTTGCAGCTGTCTTCTTTGGGGCTGACTTTGCACCTTTGTCGTTCTTCTCAGCTCCCTTTCTGTCTACAATCTTCTGCTCCAGGTCTAAGGGATTCTTCTCTCCTTCCTCACCTTCCATCCCTTCAATCTTTTTGTCTTCATCTGCATCATTCTTCTGGGGGGGTGCTGGTGCTTTCTTCTTTCTCTGCGAGGAATCCTTTGGCATGTCCTCTTTACTGAGTTTCCTCTTGTTGGCTGTGCGCGGGTCCTCATGGCTACTGCTGGGTTTTGCATCCATCTCCTCATCATCGTCATCTCCACCTTTGCCTTCCATTTCTCCTTTCTCTGCTTCATCACCGGGAACGACATCCTTTCCACAAGCTGTCATGGGTTTGGCTGTCTTGGTGCTTCCTCTTCCTCGACCTCTCCCTTTGCCTCCCCTGCCCTTTCCTCGTCCCTTCGGACCCCCCTTCTCAGCCTGTGCTTCTGCTTCTTCTTCCTCCTCCAAGCCCTTCTTTAACCCAATCTGCTCTCGGCGGGTAACCTCAGCCAAGTAAAAGGCAGCAGTTCTTTGGGAATAGTGTGGAACAAAAATATCAGTGCTGCATTTTCTGTGGTTTTTCAAGAACTGGATAAAATTGGCCCAAAGTACATCAATGTAAATAAACCTGGCTATATGGTGAAGTCTTCTATTTCAAAATCAACCTAGCAACTACGGGAGCTTTGGGTGGCGAAGCTAAAACGGGTTCATCTTCATCAAATTGATCAGCAAGATCATCCATAAGAGGGTGGATCTGGGTGTCCATATTGTCCGTGCCATACGGGAGGGAGTCCTTGATTATGATCGTCTTGTCGATGCTCATGGCTTTGCTGGCTGTGGTGGTGGTCAACGATTCTCTTGCCCTCCTTAAGCGGGATAAGCAGAAGGCCATAAAGGAAACCCATGTGGGCAGATTGTTGTATAGAAACAAGTGTTGCTTAGCAAATGTCCCAAATGATAGGTCCTATATAACTAAAAGATCGGTTACCATGTATAGTGTTTTTGTTTTTTTTTAAAAAAAAACTATAACATCAGACAACGAATGAAAACACCAGAAATCATTATTGTAACTCAACCAAAATTCTTTGCCGTCAGTTCCTTCTTGGCTTGCCAAATCTTTTTTTGCAGGGCATCGATTTGATCACTCATTGAATTGGGGTCCGATGTGCTCTCTTCCTGAATGGTTTTCAAGTCTTCCTCTTCTTGGATTGTTCCTCCATTGCCATCACTGGGGTTCTCATCATCTAAGGGATTCTTGCGTGATTTCTCCGGGAGTTCATCATCCGTGGCAAATGGGTTGGTATGCGCACGAAAGAACTGGTTTAAATCCCCATCCTCAGCTGGAACCGTGTCAGTGGACTCTGCCTTACTATCCTGGGACTCTGAGCCTTCATCTTCATCATCAGAAACTTCTATCTCCTCGTCCTCCTGATTTGGGTCATTTTCTGAACCGGCTTCTTCTTCTTCTTCACTCTCCACTGGATGCTCCTACCCGGGTTTCAACACGAAATTGTCCTAAAGAAAAATCAATTCTGATGTAATCTGTTAATGCCCCTGTAAGGCTGCTGCTGCCCCATTAGAGTCTTGTATATCTCCATTGGAATGGGACATTATATAACAGGGATGAATAACAAAGCTGGGGCAAGCTGCAATATAAGTTTGTCACACCCTTCCCTCCTCATTGGGGTCAAAGACCAGCGCCATCAGTTTGCGGAAATTCCTGGATCGACAAACCTGTTGGCGTTGCAATTTCTTCTTGATGAGGACCAAGAATGATTTGATCTTCTTAGCCTCCTTCTTCAAGTCTTTGCTAGAGGGAACCGGTTGCTCCATGATGGTGAAGAGAAGTTTCATCCTGGGATAGTAACATACTGGGTGGTCCATGAGGTTCTGGGAATGTTTAATATGATTTTGTGTTTGGTTCCATTTTAAAACATATTATATATAAATATTTTGATTCTTATGTGGCATGATGATTAGTATAATGATTTGGCAAAAACAAAAGGCTGAATTGGTGAAGTCTAGTGTTTGTTTTTGGATCTGGGGCATGAGATGCATACCAACCTCCCCATTGCTGTCAACAAGGCGAATGGCCAGTGGTTTGAGAACATGGAAATTGCGATCAGCGTTCTTGATGTTCACCTTCTGGGTCGTCACATCATCCCAGTCTAAGATGCACTTCGAACGCCGAACATGGTCCCTGATCTCTTCAGAACATTCCCAATCCCTTGAAAGATAGGCAAGGCTAGGCATCGCCATGGTTGGCAACAGGCAAGACCCAACTGGCCTCCTTAATCCCAAATGCTACCCAGGTATGTGGTTGACCATCATGTTCCCAGACCCTGGCTCACCCTGTTCCACTGGCGTGTGGTCCCTACGTGCTGCTGAGGTTTGCACCTTCTGTTTCACAAAGAGCTCGACATTGGTGCCAGCTGGTCTAAAAATGTCTGCGGGTTGACTCAGCTTAGCGTGGCAGAGGCTCTTGGACTTGATCACTATGGGATATAGGATCCATCGAACAGATTATATTAATATATTAGAGGTTAGATGATTCTGGAAATGGGTTTACCACCCTAGAGGAAAGTATTGGCACCCAAGATATTACATGATGAACCCCAGGAATGGATCATATCAGGATTGTTACAGTTGGCCATTTTCAAAACATAACCCTTTTCCAAATTACGCTACTTTTAGTTAAAAGACAGTCTTTTACACAAAGGACCTGATTTGTTGGAAGGCATCTCAAAAGGAAGCACACCTGGGACCTAGGTATATATATACATATTTATATGTATATATGTTCAATTCAATGTCTATAAATATGTATGTATGTATATATTGTATATATATATATATATTTCAATATTATGTATTATAGATGTATTTGTATTTATTTATTTGTTTATTTATTTAAGTTATTCATTCATTCATTTTTTATATGTTTTATTTGTTTATTTATTATATATGTTTATATTGTATTTATTTACATATGTTTTAAATATGTTATCTTTATATTGTATATATTTAATAATAATAATTATTATTATTTGATTATTATTTTCTCTTTGATTTTAATTATTTTTCATTTATTTTTAGTTTTCTATAAATATATATATATATATTATTATGTTTATTATTATTCTATATTTATATACGTATTTATATATATATGTTTATTATATTATATTTATATATTATATCTTATGATTATATATTATATGACATATATATATATATATGTTTTTCCCTATGCAGGGGTGGTACCGCTGCCAGGCAAACAGACACCAGGGAAACATGGAATTCTACATGGCTTCTGGCAACCTCAGGACTACCTTCATATAACTGGCACCCATGGGAGGACAAGCGCTTGGGAGAACGGCTGGGCAGAGGGCCCTTCGGCCGGGTTTGGCTGCCCACGAAGCGCGTAGTTTAAGGGCAGGAGGCGGGGACTGGGTGCACAAGGTCATTAAAATGACCGCACGCCAGGCCTTCCGCAGAGAGAAAGAGCTCACGTGGAGGCGGACATGGGGAAACCACTTAAGCACACACACACACACACTCACACACACACACAGCTGAGAGTAGTTACTTACTCTGAACTGGAACTTTGAAATCGTGATGTTGTCAGCGCCTTGAGGGTGCCTAAGTCAAATCCTGTCAACACAAGTGCATACTGTTTCGAACCTATTCAACTATGGTAAACTGTTCCGCCTCTAGGCTTGGCCAGTCGCCATCACGACATTGAATAGCAGGTACGTGACTAGCGTCCCAGAGTCATACCAGTCATGAATGCAGCCCTCTTTGTTGGGCAATCAGCTGCAAACATGAGGTTGCCCCCCTGCTCAATATATATATATATATACATATATATATATATATATATAATGTTCGTTGGTTGAATCCCGCATGATGCCCGCATGACAGCTGGCGGGTTACACACACACAAGCCCCTAAGGGCAACACAGGGACATCAAGCAAAAGAAATTGCATCTTTTTTCTCGAGAAGCATCGACATGGTCAGTTCTTTGGAAATGCATTCAGTTGTGCAACAAGTTCTCCACGGAAAGAAAAGGTATGATAGCTCTCGTATAGGCAACGAATTTTCAAAAAGGGTTTGAATGCCACAATGACTCTCTGTCAGTCACGCTGCGTTGCGACAAAATGACATTTTTTTCAGTTTCGTCATGTCGGACAAAAATTTCAGGGGCAATCTGTAGCGAAGAAGGCCAAGCATTGGTCAAGATAAAAATCGAATCCGAGCTAAGATGCCGAAATTTGCTTGGGGGTTCACACACACGCACGCAAGCCGGGGGAGGGTAGTCATTTAGGCGCTGTGGCTGTCAGCAAAGCTTGACACCACTTCCATCAGTCTGTGCCGCTCGGTAAAATGGTACTGCGCTCTGACTCGGAGCAAAGGACAAGCTACAACCAGAGCCTCCTGGATCAAAACGTGATCCGAAAGCAGCAGCGCGCGGAGCAAAGCCCGGGCGCACAGAACCCTTCTAATGCACCGGCGTGGCGTTTTTTCTTTTGGAGGGGGACATGGCTGGTAGAGCTTCACGCACCACGTGAGGGGAAGGGTTGCAAGAGTGAGGGTTCCAGACTAGTGATGTATAAATTCATTATAAGCTGAGAGGACCAGGGCTCCTAGACCGGTTCATAAACTGTTACTTGTCATTCTACACCAGCAAGGGTAAAGATTGCTAAAGCGAGGACGCCACACTCGCGGCTTACCGTCGCCTGCCAAGGCGGCGAGCCAGGACGCCAGGACTGGCGCACCAACAAAGCCTGGGAACAGGCAATTGCTATAGTGTTTCGATTCGATTCCACAACCATTCTAGTGTAGCGTACCATAGTGCGGCGTGGCCGCGTGTGGAGATATGGTTGTTCAATAGGTATAGTTGTAGCACGTAGTTGTTGGTGTAATATTGGACAGTCGTGAGGTGTAGATTAGCTGCCGTGGCACCTGCAATGGTTCTCGTCGCTGCTGGAGAGGGATTCGTAAATGTAGGGTAACGTTTGTGGTAATGTGGTGGTGGTGGTGGTGGTGGTGGTATAGTCGGTGATGGTAGGGTTCTTAGCTTGCGAAGGCGAAGAAAGACAACATGGTCGACCTCGCTCTCTGGTTCGAGAACGATGAGCTTCTCCAGAAGGCCAAAGAGAAGCACGAAGCGGAGGAAGCGGCGAGGGGGCGGCCGAAGAAGCCCAGGAGGAGTCGGTGCAGCGCAAAAGCTCGCGCGAGCAGCAGCTCGTCGAGCAGTTCCTCAGCCAGCACCGGGAGCAGTGCGCCAGCGCCGCCCGACCCGGAAGCCGAAACATCGGCTTCCGAGGAAACGCAGAAACGGACTTACGGGGCCGCCCTGCGGCAGCCCAACCTGGCGGAAGGAAGAGCTGCAAAACTTAGCCGGTGGGGGAGCACACAACAAGCAGGCAGAACAAAGGACAAGTGCATACTGTTTCGAACCTATTCAACTATGGTAAGCTGTTCCGGTTCTAGGCTTAGCCAGCCGCCATCACGACATTGAATAGCAGGTACGTCACTCTAGCGTCCCAGAGTCATACCAGTCATGAATGCAGCCCTCTTCGTTGGGCAATCAGCTGCAAACATGAGGCTGCCCCCCTGCTCTCTATATATATATATATAACGTTAGTTGATTGAATCCCGCATGATGCCTGCATGACAGCTGGCGGATTACACACAGACAGACAGACACACAGACACACACACATACACACACTTGATGCTACTGTTGTAAGATGTAAGATTTTCTTGAACCCACGCGTGATTCTACATCGTACGAATTCTTGCACTTGACCACGCTTGATGCTACGTTGTCAGATCTTCTCTTGCGCTTGAACACTGGTGCTCCGTTGCACGCACTTGAACACACAGTTCTTGATGCTATGCTGTATGATCTTCTCTGGCGCTTGAACTCGCACTTGATGCCACGTCGTATGACCTTTTTCTGTATGCTTCCTATTTTTGGAGTTGCAATCTCCAAGACACGTTGCCTGTGGCCATGTTGAGACAGCTGCTGCAGAAGCGCAATTGCGAGCCATAAGATCGAGAAAAAGAATAGTGAGTGTGAATAACGTGTGAATCAACAGCTTTAAGAAACACGAAAACGCCAAGCACCTGACGTGCCCGCAATCTGATGGTTTCAATCATATGTGTTAACTTTCAACCCGCTTTGGGAGGATGAACGACTAATGATTTCAGAAGGATTGTAACCACCAACCGGTGAACATTGCGTTCACTTGGCAATAACAGGACGGATACAAGACACATGAATAAGAATGATGCAAACACAGCACATCCAGTTGGTAATAATTTGGGAGTTCCATAAAAGGAGATACCTCAATAGCTGGATGGTTAACTCCCCCAGTCATGTGATAATAAAAGGTTTTGACCCATCCCCATATCACGTCGGATACACCCAAGGAGCATCTTTGACCATCTCCACATCGATGCAGAGGATGTCACGGTCGGATCGTGCGGCCCTCGTCGCGTATGGTTTTGTAAAAACAATGGGTGCAATCAGTGCAATCCTCTGGTTTAGACTGGTTTAGTACCATGTTAATGTGTTTATTCTTGTGTATATATATATTACCATGAAAACAATTGTTCTATGGGGGGCTATCTGCATCCCCCATTTCTGGATATATGGCTGTGGATTTGCATTCCTTTGGAGGTCACACGTATGGTATACGTTATAGTTAAAAGCCATGTGTAAATATAGGATAAACCAACTGAATTTGGACTTACGATCGTTTTTTTTCAAGGTTTCTTGGCCAGTACCAACATACGTCACTAGTGGGGTGATCCTAGTGGGTCTTGAAAGTTGATCATTGGAACTACCTACCATATATGTTCGGTGTATATCAGGGTGTAAGTTGATATACCCCCAACATTTGGTGCTTCTTAAAATTATTGATCCCCAAACTCATTGGTTTCAGTACTAAGTCATGATCATTCATGATCATTCACGACTTGGATGATTTGGGATTTGGATAAGGGTATCCCCATGACTTAGGCAAATTCCATCTGAGTTTAGATGATCTTAACGTAGCTGTGGATCGGGGCCACAGGACCAACTTCCAGCGTGGATTTGGTGTCTCCAAGAGACCGCCCATCTATGTGCCATGGAGAACGTTCAACGCGGAAAGGAACGGGGGACGCGTACAACCGGGCATCCTGTTTCACACCCCATTAAACCCAAAAACATGGGAGTTTTGAACCATGGTTCATACATGTTCATACATCCCAAAACCCATAGCCATGGTTCATGATGTTCATGGTTGGAGGTGATTTTTCCGGCAACTCTCGAAATTCAATGTTTTTTTGGTGATAGAATCAATGTTTCAATCTGTATCTCTCAATCATTGGTCCAGATGTGAGATGTCATGAGATGTTTGTTGAATTGGATGCCTTAGAACAGTTAC